TGGGTCTGCAAAATCTCAAATGACGTCTTTACATTAAAGAAGAAACCTCGTTTCGGACGTTTGTAGCCCCGAGAAGCGAAAACAGCCGCACCTGTGCAGATCATGGAGCAAGCAATTTTCCGTCGTGGAGGTCCCTGACCAATCACTCTCGCTTCACTCCCAGGCACTTTCCAGCATATTTGCGGGTCCGCGAACTCACAAATGACGTCTTTACATTGAAGAAAAAACCTCGTTTCGGACATTTGCAGCCCGGGAAGCGAAAACAACCGCTTTTGTGCAGATCATGGAGCAGACAATTTTCCGTCGTGGAGATCCCTGACCAATCGCTCTCGCTTCACTCTTAGGCACTTTCTAGCATAATTGCGGGTCCACGAACTCACAAATGACGTCTTTACATTGAAGAAAAAACCTCGTTTCGGACGTTTGTAGCCCCGAGAAGCGAAAACAGTCGCACCTGTGCAGATCATGGAGCAGACAATTTTCCGTCGTGGAGGTCCCTGACCAATCGCTCTCGCTTCACTCCCATGCACTTTCCAGCATAATTGCGGGTCCGCGAACTCACAAATGACGTCTTTACATTGAAGAAAAAACCTCGTTTTGGACGTTTGTAGCCATGCAGCTAGGAGCATCTCCATGCAGCTAGAAGCATCGCCATGCAGCTAGGAGTATCGCCACGCAGCTAGGAGCAGACCCATGCAACTAGGAGCATCGCCATGCTGCTAGGAGCATCGCCATGCAGCTAGGAGCATCGCCGTGCAGCTAGGAGCATCGCCGTGCAGCTAGGAGCATCGCCATGCAGCTAGGAGCATCCCCATGCGGCTAGGAGCATCGCCATGCAGCTCGGAGCATCGCCATGCAGCTAGGAGCATCGCCATGCTGCTAGGAGCCATGCAGCTAGGAGCATTTCCATGCAGCTATGAGTGTCGCCGTGCAGCTAGGAGCATCTCCGTGCAGCTAGGAGCATCGCCATGCAGCTAGGAGCATCGCCATGCATCTAGGAGCATCGCCATGCAGCTCGGAGCATCGCTTGCAGATAGGAGCATCGCCATCCAGCTCGGAGCATGACCATGCTGCTAGGAGCATCGCCTTGCAGCTAGGAGCATCGCCATGCAGATAGGAGCATCGCCATGCAGCTAGGAGCATCGCCATGCAGCTAGGAGCATCGCCATGCAGCTAGGAGCATTGCGATGCAGCTAGGAGCATTGCCATGCAGCTCAGAGCATCGCTTTCAGCTAGGAGCATCGCCATGCAACACGGAGCATCGCCTTGCAGCTAGGAGCATCGCCTTGCAGCTCAGAGCATCACCATGCAGCTAGGAGCATCGCCATGAAGCTCGAAGCATCGCCATGCAGCTAGGAGCATCGCCATGCAGCTAGGAGCATCGCCATGCAGCTAGGAGCCTTGCCATGCAGCTAGGAGCATCGCCATACAGCTAGCAGCATCGCCATGCAGCTAGGAGCATCGCCATGCAGCTAGGAGCATCGCCGTGCAGCTAGGAGCATCGCCGTGCAGCTAGGAGCATTGCCATGAAGATAGGAGCATCGCCTTGCTGCTAGGAGCATTGCCATGCAGCTCGGAGCATCGCCATCCAGCTCGGAGCATCGCCATGTTGCTAGGAGCATCGCCTTGCAGCTAGGAGCATTGGCATGCAGCTAGGAGCATCGTCGTGCAGCTAGGAGCATCGTCGTGCAGCTAGGAGCATCGGCATGCAGCCCTGAGCATCGGCATGCAGCTAGGAGCATCGCCGTGCTGGTAGGAGCATCGCCGTGCAGCTAGGAGCGTCGCCGTGCAGCTAGGAGCATTGCCATGCAGATAGGAGCATCGCCTTGCTGCTAGGAGCATCGCCATGCAGCTCGGAGCATCGCCATCCAGCTCGGAGCATCGCCATGCTGCTAGGAGCATCGCCTTGCAACTAGGAGCATTGGCATGCAGCTAGGAGCATCGCCGTGCAGCTAGGAGCATCGCCGTGCAGCTAGGAGCATCGCCATGCAGCTAGGAGCATCGCCATGCAGCTAGGAGCATCGCCATGTAGCTCGGAGCATCGCCATGCAGTTAGGAGCATCGTCATGCAGCTAGGAGCATCGCCATGCAGCTAGGAGCATCGCCATGCAGCTAGGAGCATCGCCATGCAACTAGGAGCATCGCCATGCAGCTAGGAGCATCGCCTTGCAGCTAGAAGCATCGCCATGCAGCTCGGAGCATCGCCTTGCAGCTAGGAGCATCGCCTTGCAGCTAGGAGCATCGCCATGCAGCTCAGAGCATTCCATGTAGCTAGGAGCATTGCCATGCAGATAGGAGCATCGCCATGCAACACGGAGCATCGCCTTGCAGCTAGGAGCATCGCCTTGCAGCTCAGAGCATCGCCATGCAGCTAGGAGCATCGCCATGCAGCTCGGAGCATCGCCATGCAGCTAGGAGCATCGCCATGCAGCTAGGAGCATCACCATGCAGCTAGGAGCATCACCATGCTGCTAGGAGCATCGCCGTGCAGCTAGGAGCATCGACGTGCAGCTAGGAGCATCGCCATGCTGCTAGGAGCATCGCCGTGTAGCTAGGAGCATCGCCATGCAGCTCGGAGCATCGCCATCCAGATAGGAGCATCGCCATGCTGCTAAGAGCATCGCCATGCAGCTAGGAGCATCGCCATGTAGATAGGAGCATCATCTTGCTGCTAGGGGCATCGCCATGCAGCTCGGAGCATCGCCATCCAGCTCGGAGCATCGCCATGCTGCTAGGAGCATCGCCTTGCAGCTAGGAGCATTGGCAAGCAGCTAGGAGCATCGCCGTGCAGCTAGGAGCATCGCCATGCAGCTAGGAGCATCGCCATGCAGCTAGGAGCATCGCCATGCAGCTAGGAGCATCGCCATGCAGCTAGCAGCATCGCGATGCAGCTAGGAGCATCGCCATGCAGCTAGGAGCATCGCCATGCAGCTAGGAGCATCGCCATGCAGCTAAGAGCATCGCCATGCAGCTAGGAGCATCGCCTTGCAGCTAGGAGCATCGCCATGCAGCTCGGAGCATCGGCTTGCAGCTAGGAGCATCGCCTTGCAGCTAGGAGCATCGCCATGCAGCTCGGAGCATCGCCATGCAGCTAGGAGCATCGCCATGCAGCTAGGAGCATCGCCATGCAGCTAGGAACATCGCCATGTTGAACCGCTGAAGGACCTGCTGCACCATGTGTGACTGTGAGAGTGTAATGGTGTGAGTGGCTCTGTCCCTGGTGATCTGCAGGCCAAGGTAGTGGCGCAGCTCACCAAGGTCAGTGCACGTGTGTCTCTTCTGCAGTTTGCGCTTCACGTCAGCCAAAGCAACCCTATCAGCAATGGCAAAACCAGGTCGTCGAGCTAGACCAGTACAAAGAACGGTGTGGAGCCACGACGAACGAACAGCGACGGGTCGGCAGAAGACGGCTGGAAACCGAGGTCAGACAGGGTAGAACGAAGGGTGTCGTGCCACTCACAAGGAGCCTGACGGAGACCGTAGACCAGTCGCCTCAGCCTCCACTGGGTCCTAGGAGGGAAAGTGCCACTGAAGGCAGAGAGACGACGCAACCAGACCTCCTCATGTAGGCTAACCTGAAGGAAGGCAGTGGAGAAGTCGAGAGAGTGTAGCTCGTAGTCTCTCTGTGCTGCTACGTGTAGTAACACCCGAAGAGTGGTCATCTTTGGGGTAGGCGCGAAGGTCTGAAAGAAGTCAACTTCCTCATGCTGACTGAAACCTCTAGCCACGTAGCGCGCCTTGAAGACCGGAGGAGATCCCGGTGGCCGCTTCACCCTGTAGATCCACATGCCATCGACTACGTTCGCCCCAGGGGGGGGAACCTCGTCGACGTAGGTGCCTGTGGATTTGTAGGAGGCCATCTCTGCGTCCATGGCAGCTCTCCACTGAGAGGCCCAAGGCCCTGACATTGCCTCAGCGTAAGTGCGAGGAGTCGGTATGTCAAGGGCGTCAGGGTCTCCCTCAGGGGCGAGCAACATGGCACAGAGATGAGGGGAAGCGGCTGCCAGGTTCTCTAGCTCAAACTGCCTGTCCTCTAGGGCGTCACTGCCAAGGGCAGACTCACCCCCGACGGCCAGAGGACTGGTAGGAGGAGCAGCCACAAGACTGGTGGCGTAGTCAAGGCGGTGTGTAGAGGCAAACTCAGTGACTGCGGCAGTAAGAGCGGAGACAGAGGACAGAGAGGCACGAGGGCCGGTAAGAAGAGAGGCGAGAACACGAGAGAGAACAGGACGGTACGTGCGGTAGTAGTCAGTGACAGGAGTAGAGAGGGAAGCAGTGAGGGCCGACTCAGGAGGAGAAGGAAGTACAGAAGGAGACGAATGAGGCGGGACTAGGACGGAACAGGACAGTACGAAGGTCAGTGAGAGGGACAGGGGACGAGGGACGAGCACGAGGACGGGCAGACGGGACGGACAGAGACGGGCGCGACGCGGCGGACAAGCGCGACGCGACGGACGGGACGGGTAGGGACGGGCGCGACGCGGTGGACAGGTGCGACGCGACTGACGGGACTGACGGGACGGGCACGACGTGGCAGGCAGGCGCAACGCGACGGGTAGAACGGGGCAGGCGCAGCGGGCGCTAGAGTACAAGACGAGCGTGACTAACAGGAGGGTACGGGACAAGCTCGAGCGCTAAGAGCGTGAACGTGAGGAACGGGATCCCGCGGGATCCTAACCTAGGTGATACCATGTCAGAATCGAAAGTGTTGCATTCACAATGTTGGTTGGGGTACATAAACCTAACCCTAAGAGTTGTACCCCCTATGACACACATCATTTAGACTTCAAAATTTGACAATTTGATACCAGCACGAATTTCGCAACTTTATGGGCTTGGAAACGCTTATATAGGGGTGCGACGAAACTCGTTGGACAAATACGGTATGACGAAAATTTCGAGCCCTGCTGGTGTCGTGAAGTACTATGATTGTTATACTGCTCTAACGTTTAACTCTTTTAGACAACTCCACAACTTGCACGCATCACTGCTAATGGTTGCTATTTTCCTAAGTGCTTTCTGACTTCTGGCAACACCGCAATCAGCTGCACCAAGGCAGCATGGGTGAGCCTTGCGAGCCCAAGGGAAGAGGGCGAGAGGGGCTGTTTGCTATGAGACACTCTGTGTAACGCACGTTCCAATGCACAGGTGAGGAGGAGGAAGTGATGGGAAGTTGAGGTGGCATGTGAGAGCAGTGCTGCATGCACGGGAGGGCATGAGAGCAGCCCATGCAGCACCTGGTGGGAGGAGCACACGGAAGGGGTGTGGGAGGGGAGCCCAAAAAAAAAAAAAAAAAAAAAGCATGAACAAGGACATCAAACTCGTTGAATAAACAAAATGACAGCATTGCGAACCACAGACAACACCACTTGACAGCAACGCTGCAGGCTGCTGTGCTTGGCGGCATATTGCAATACCGAGAGAGCCACTAACCTCCACCGCGAGCGCTAGAACATCAACTTCTGGCTGCCTGCCCTCTGCCCGCCCTGCAGCAGCTGCTCCTGCTGTGGCTGCAGGGGATCCAGCGAGCTGCAGTGCGCGTGGAGTGGTAGGCAGCAGGAGAGCGAGGTGGGCGGTGTGGGCGTGGGCACGGTGGAGGCTGTGCGACGCAGCGTGCACAACGGCTGTGAGCCACAGCAGCAGCCCGCCTTGCCGCACCAGGTGGCCCGCATACGACGGCAGGCAGCACACGCGCCGCAGCACCTGCAGAATCAGCTTGCAGGTGAACACATCGCTCACCCCACACGCGAAGAAACTTCCCAGAAGCTCCACAACAAAGCGGCGGCGCAGAACAGCATCCCCTTCAAAACTGCCAGCCTCGTGCCCTTCCTCTGCGTTGCCACTGCCCCCATCCCCATCGCCGCCCTTGTCCCTGTCCCCCCTGCCACCACCCATCTCTTGCCCTTCCCCTCCCACAACCAAGGGCTGTGGGGCAAGGGGAAGTAACAAAGGGGCGGGGGCTGTAGGGGAGGCATGGAAGGGTGGGAGGGCGAGGGCGGCCAGGAGGTGCAGCAGCCACATGCGCTGGGCGCGGTGGTGGGGAGAGCCGCTCATGAGGCACGGCAGCAGCAATGGCACGGTCTGCAGCGGTGGGAAGGGGGAGTGGAACAATGATGAGGACCAACGATGAGGCAAAGGGGACCGCAGGCAGGGAGAGGGAGAGAGAAAGCGAATGGTAGTCCTACCGTGAGGTTGAGGGATGGTTGGGAGAGAAGCAATTGGGAGAGGAGAGGAAAGAGAGGGGAGCCCCCCCCCAGGTGCATGACTTGGAGCATTTCCGCCATGAAGAGCACGGAGAGGCGCGGCAGGCGCTGCCACGTGGTGGTGACGGTGGCCCGCACACAGCGCACCACGTGCTGCACGGCATGCTGCTCCCTCCACCCCTCCTCCTGCTCCTGCACCACTCCAATCCACAACCAACGGGGCGGAACAGATGTACACCGTGTAGATGAAAGGTGCAGGGGAGATGCAGAGGAAGACATCAGTGTTGGGAACATATTTAGTTCTTACCACTTATCACACTCGTTCCTGCCGTTCACTATTTCATCCCCCGCATGCATGGCAGCATGAGTTGAAAAGTGCTATTTGAGCTCGACATTGCGTGCAGCAGCGCACATACCTCGAGCAGAGCGGCGAAGAGTGCGAGGGTGGCGTAGCCCAGGCGCCGCATGCTGTGCTGCGCCGACGCCAGGCTGGCAATGGCAGCCGCCATGAGCCCGCAGCGGGCAGCCATGCGGGGGGAGAGGAGGCGGCGGGAGAGGGCGTGCAGGGTGAAGGGGAGCACGAAGGCGGGGTCGTAGGCTGCCTGCTGCACCGCCACGTCCTGAGCTGCTGCTGACCCGGGGAGAGGGTGGCCCTGCCCAGCCTGCTGCCACACACAAGGGTCGCCCCCACCTCCCCTGCAGCTCGCACTGCACATGCACATGCGCGTGCCCCCCTGCCCCATCCATTCACTCACCCCCTCACCCTCTTGCTCCACGTCCTCCACTCCCCCTCCCTCATCGCCCCCCGAGTGTGCGTGGCGGAGAGCAGGGAAGGCGAGCACGAGCAGCCCACAGCGCGTGGCGTCCACCGCCGCCTCCTCCCACCAGAACCGCCACTGCCGCTGCTCGCGGCCCTCAAACACACCATCACCATTCCCACCCACCTCCTTCCCCCCCGCTACCCCCATCTCCCTGCCATCTTGCGCTGCACCTTCTGCCTGGCCCTCGCCCCCTGCCTGAGCTGGTGCTCGTCCCCTCCCCTGCTGCCACTCCCAGCGTGATGCGGCCCCCTGGCCCCAAAGATAGTCAAACCACTCAAAACCCCGGAACTCCTCTGCAACCACCGCGCTCACCCCATCAGCACCCCCTGCTGCCTGCGCAGCTTGATGGTCCCCCCCCTCGATGCGGGCCGCAGCACGTGGCTTGTGGTGGCCTGCAAGGCGTGTGAGGAGGTGCATGAGGGCGAGCAGGGCGCGGTCGGTGGGGCTGAGGGTGGCGCCGTAGAGGGCGAGCAGCAGCGCAAAGAGCGTCTGTAGAGCACGCCGAGTCGCCGAGGAGCACACACAACCAGACACGTGGCACAGCCTCATTCGCAGGAAGGCAGTCATGAGGCGCAGCAATTCCAACCGTGCTGCACCCTCACCTGCACACTCGCCCTCGCCATCCCCCTCTGATCCTCTTTCCCTCCTCGTCCTCTTCTTTTGCTTTCCTGCCTCCCCATCAGGCCTCTCCTCCTCTCCACCCTCTCTTCCCTCCCTTGCTGCATGGCTTCGTGCCTCGCATGGCAGTGCGAGCGGCCACAGCATGGTGGAGTGAAGGCACGACTGCAGGAGCTCACTGGCCCGCACCTTCGCCTCAACGCCTGGCCCTATCTCTGCTTCCTCCCCCAACTCCTCCCTGTCTGCATCTCGCTGCCCCTCTTGCACCTGCCACGCTGCCCCGGGAGGACAGCGAGGAGATGAGGGCGGGCAGGATGCGGCAATGAGGGGGAGATCGGGGAGGAGGGGAGAGGGGATGAGGGAGAGGGGCGAAGGGAGGGAGACGGCTCTGCTGCTGTCCTTGTGCAGTTGGTGGGCCAGCGCTGCAGGCAGGGGGGCGGCGGAGGGGCCAGCGGAGGGGGAGAGGAGGAGAGGCAGAGTGCGAGAGTGTGCGAGGAGGAGGTCCAAGAGGGCGCACCCCACGCTGGACACAGCTGCTGCCGCGCCTTGTGACGCCCATTGTGACGGCAGCGGTGCTGCTGCTGGCACGGAATGCTTCGGTGGGTGTGCGGAGGGGGCAGTGGCGGCGGCGAGCAGGGCACGGCAGGCGAGGGTGAGGGAGTGGAAGGCGAGAGGGTGGGCGAAGCGGTGCTTGAGGCACGCCACGGCTGCAACGCGCAGCGACGCCAGCCCGTGCTGTAGCAGAGGCAGAGGGACGTGTGGGGTGGTGGGAGATGGTGGCGGGCGTGGCGGCATGGCAGGTGGAGCAGCAGTGAGTGTATGTGCCAGGAGCGTGGCCACACGAGCCAGCTGCACAGCAGCCAACTGCTGAAGCTCTCTCGCTGCCATTATCACCCTGCCACCACCCACTGCCCTCTTACCTTCCCTCCCCACACGCTCTCTTTGCCCCACACGCTCTCTTTGCCCCACACGCTCTCTTTGCCCCACACGCTCTCTTTGCCCCACACGCTCTCTTTGCCCCCACCCACTGCCCCCACCACTGCCCGTCACCACAGTCACTTGTGCCTCTGGTGCGAGAGGGAAGATGCTTCCAAGAAGATTCACAAGGGCAGCCAGAAGCCTCATCTGTGCAGCAGGTGTTCCCCAAACCCTTCTCATGTCCTCGCTCCCCCCACCGCAGCTGCCAGCGCCAGCACTGCCAGCACTACCAGTGCTACCAGTGCTACCAGTGCTGCAGGGTGGCGAGGGCACGCGGCCAGTGCAGGCCAGCCGGGATGCCAGTGCCAACTGCAGGAGCGTGTGAGCCACCACACAGCCCCCCTGCACACGCCACCCCCCACCTCCAACCACCCCCCCTCTACCCTCCTCCGCCTCCCCCCTGCCCTTCCCACTGCCCCTCCCTTTCCCACGTGCGCCCTTGCCTCCCCCCTGCATACTGCCCTCTTGCTCCTCGTGTGGCACCAGCACGTGGACGAGCGAGGCGAGGCGAGCGTGGGGGAGGGGATGAGCGAGCAGCAGCGAGTGGAGAAGAGCGGGAACATACGAGAGCAAGGTGGGCAGGATGTGAGGAGGAAGGTGGCAGAGGGGAAGGTGGCAGGGAGGGGTGATTGGGGCGGTATGGGGCGGGGTGCAGGGAGGGAGCAGGGCGAGGAGCATGTCTCTGTACGTGCACGCCACCACACTCGTACCTGCTGGGCCTCCACCCTCGCCCTCCTTGCACTGCCCGCCCACAGCAACAGCCACTGCAGGCAGCAGCATGACCATGCGTATCCACCCGTCCCCATCCTGCCACCACGCATGCCCCTCACCACCTCCTGCATCCGCCCTGGGCCCCGCACCCCTCGCCGTGCGTGTGCCCAACCGCTGCCTCTCCTCGCCACCCATCCACTGAGCCACAGCGTGCACCACCTCGCCCGCCACCCTGCTGTTCCCTGTGCGCCCCTCAGAGTGCGAGTGAGCAGCGAGGAGCAGCGAGAGCAGGTTGCCACGGCGCCACGAGGGGTGCTGCACGCACGCGTGAATGACGCGGCGCTCAAGGGCAGCGGGGCACACGGGCACCACGTGCACGTGCGAGCACGGTGCCTGGCACACCACAGGGCTTGGCCAGATGTGCAGCCAAGGCAGGTGCACCGCAGCTTCCAGTGCCACGATAGCTGTGTGCTCTGCCAGGCGTGTGGCCTGTGTGAGCAGCGCGTGCAGGGTCGCCTCCACCAGCGCTGTGAGCGCCCCACGCACACACACGTTCGCCCTTCCACGTGCCATGCTGCGCTGCAGTGCCTGCAGCAGTGGCTGTGGGGCCACCCACGGCAACCCACCATGCCCGTCGCCCACAGCTGCCTTGGCGCGTTTGAATGTGACACATGCGACTGTCAACGCCATGTGCTCACATGCTCCCCTCACATTCTCCCTCTCACCATCCCCTGCTGCCCCACCCCCATTCACCATGCTCCCATCCGCCATCCGCCCGTGTGCCATGCCCTGCACCACTGCTGCCATCCATGCCGCCCATGCTGCCAGGCTGGCAAGGCAGGGCGAGGAGGGGACATGCACGACGTGCGCACAGCAAGGGGCAAGAGCGGGCTGAATAGCAAAGGCACATGGACGGGTGGGCTGCACAAGGGGAGATGGGGAGGAGTGGCACGGCAGGGCAATGAAACGAGAGAGCCACAACGCCACCACCACGCTCACTGGCACTGCCACCCCTTGCGCCGCCTCCTTTTGCACATCCTCCTTTCCAGCCCCTTCCCCTCCTCCCCCGCCGTCTCCCTCCCCCCTCCACGTGACACAGCTGGTGCTGAAGTCGAAGTGCCAGTCGCCCAGCGCCCCTCCTGCCACCTGCTGCCACAGCCCGCTCTGCTCCTGCGCTCTGCTGCCCACCCTGCCCTCGCCGCTCCCCCCTGGCGTTACCAGCACCACCGCATGCGAGGCAGGGCGCACAGGCGTGGGGCAGGCAGGGGGGGACGGGGAGTGGGGAGGGAGGAAGGGCGCGAGGGAGGCGGCAAGGGAGTGGTGGGCGGCGCACAGGAATGGCTGGCAGGCCTGCCGCAGGAGAAGGGTGCCTTGGGGTGGTGGGGGGGGGGGCGAGGGCGAGTCGGGGAGAGAGTGATGGAGGGAATGGGAGAAGGAGAGGAGGCGGAGGAGGAGGCGCGAGATGGACAAGCGGAGGAAGGTGAGGAGGGAAGAGAGGTGCGCAGAGGGCCAGGCACTGACGTCATCTATGTGGCCTGTGAATGCTGCGAGGAGCAGAGGGTGCGACATGATATCAGCTGCCTGCGCCATGAACTCACACGCTCTCTCATCCTCCTCGCCGCCCTGCTGCCCCTGCTCGTCCCGTCCGCCACTCCACGCGCTGGCAGCGTGCATGGAGTGGGAGGGCGAGGGCAGCGGTGGCGGCATGAGGGTGGCCTCCAGTGCCGCCATGCACACGCGCACACAGCGCTGCCGCCGCCTCCACTCCGCCCCCACCACCTGCTCGCCCCCCACCGTACCCACGCCAAGCACTCGCCCCAGTTCAAACACAACAGCCCTCCCCACCTCCCCCCTCCTCTCCCCCCACTGCCTTCCCTCGCCTGGGCGTCCGTGGCTTGCCCCTGCGCCCCCCCCCGGCAGCACGGGGGGTGACGGCAGGCGCAGGCGAGCCAGCAGCAGCGCAGCAAGGTAGGAGGCAAAGCGGTGGTGGAGCTTGAGGGGCGAGAGCAGGGCGCGCACGCACAGGGAGAGCAGAGGCGCGAAGGGCAGGGAGAGGAGGAGGTGGGAGTGAGCAATGGTGGAGGGGTGGGGAGAAGAAGGCATGGGGGGGAGGAAGAGAGGCAGAGGTGAGGCTACTGCGCGGCGCATGTGGTGGTGGTGGCAGGTAGCGGCAGACAGCAGTGCTTGGTGCGCCAACACACTCGCTTCCAGCAGGGCAGGTGCGTGCAGTGGCAGCAGCGAGGGGAGGAGGGCGTGCACACAGAGAGTGGAGCAGAGAAGACGCATGGCGGGTGGACCAAGGGAGGCTGCGAGCGAGGCGAGGCGAGGGAGGAGGGCGATGAGCGAGGGTGGATGGGCAGAGGAGAGGGCGAGAGTGAAGTGTGAGAGGGCAGCGTCACTGCCACTCGCTTGCTCCGCCTGCAGGCTCGCCTCCACCGCCCCCACTGCTGCCTCCACTGCTGCGCGCCCGCCAGCATCACAGGTGTCGCAGCTGTGAGCACTCGCCCCTGCCGCACTGTGCGGCCTCTCTCCGCTCCCCGCCTGCTGCCCCTCAGGGTGCGCAGAAAGCAGCGATGCGGTTGACTCCAGCAGCGCTTGCAGGCAGAGCAGCGACGCAGAGAGAGGGGGTTGACCATGTGGCCGGGGGGAGGACGGGGAGGAGGTGGTGGTGGTGGTGGAGGAGGAGTACAGGGCAGGGCGGAGGATGTGAGTGATCAGAGCAGCGAGTGGGAGAGGGCATTCCTGTTGACAGCCAAGGCAAAGAAAAGAGAAGAGGTGGGCAGGACAAGGCGGACAGAACGGGTGCAGGCACGGGCACAGGAGGGTGCAGGCATGAGTGCGTGGATGCAGCAGCAGCGTGCACGTGGCAAAACATGGTTTGAGCAGGCGCTACAGGGATGGAGGGGGTGGAAGAAAGCTGGGAACTGGGGAAAAAACAAGAACTGAGTTGGCGCCTTGAGCAGAGAATGGAGAAATGGAAGAGAAGAGAAACAAGAGGCAAGCAGTGAAAGACCTGAAGGGAGATGATGTGAGTGAGGGCGTTGCAGGTGAAGGTGGCGATGGCAAGCTGCACTGGTGGAGAGGACGAGGAGGAAGAGGAGGCGGGGGAGGGGGAGGTGGCATACAGCACTTTGAGGCAGTTGGTGAGAATGCACGCAGGGAAGGGACCCAGGGAGCCCAAGGGGGTGTGGCCCCGGGCACGGCAGGAGGGGCAGTGGGATGCATGGGCGGGGGGTGGTGAGGCGGCAGGGAGGGCGAGGAGGTACTTGAGGGGCGTGCGGGCCACACACGCCACGGCATCCGCCAGAAACGCCGCCACCCCTCGTGCTGCTGCCGCACTGCTGCCAGCACTGCCAGGTGCCATGGCGGGCAGGAAGCGCAGCCACATGGCAGCCTCTGATTGGCGGGCACGGAATGCATGCGAGGAGAGCATGGCAGCGGTGCAGAGCCAGTCAACGTCAGGCGCGAGGTCAGCGGGCGGGGGAGAGAGGCGCAGCAGCAGCAGCGGCAGCAGGTGGTTGTGCAGCGGAAAGGTGCAGGGGGACTCGTCTCCCCGGAATGCCGCTTTGGTGGGTGCAGGCAGGGGCGGCGTGCTGTGCGCTCCTCCAGTCCCAGCCCTGGGGAATGTGAGGGTGTGTTGAGAAGGCAGCGGGAAGAAGGCGAGGAGGAGGCGCAGAGTGGCTCGCAGCAAGGGGGGGGGCAGCGAGGGCAGGTCGGCACGCAGGAAGCGCAGCGGATCCACGTGGCAGGCGGCCATGGCAGCGGGCACCACCCTCTGCATGCAGCAGGCAGGCAGGCAGGTGGGGGGGTAAAAGGGGAAGGGGGCATGAGGCAAAGCGAAGCAGCAGGTGCACGCAACGCAAGACACAGTTTGATTGGTAGAGGGCGAGGAGTACCTGGTAGAGAGCGAGACCTGGTAGAGAGCGAGGAGTACCTGGTAGAGAGCGAGGAGTACCTGGTAGAGAGCGAGGAGGCGCAGTGCCTTGCAGTGCAATAGCAGGCGAACCGACCAGCGCCCTCCCTCCTCCTCGTCGTCCATCTCATCATCCATCCCCACCTCCTCCTCCTCCTCATCCTCCGCCTCTTCCTCTACTTCTCCTATCTCTCCCTCCCCCTCCTCCTCCTCCCCCTCACCCCCCCCTTCCGCCATCACCTGCCACTCACCTGCTGCACCCCGCCCTCTCTTCCGCCTGCCGCCCTCCCCCCCGCCCCCTGCCCGCCTCACCCCGCACACTGCCACCCCTCGCGGGGCCAAGTGTGCGCCCTCGTCCCCGCCTGGCTCGCCTCTGCTGGGCTGAGAGGCAGCCAGCACGCCCACCACCATCTGCACGTCGGGCACGGCGCCCACCACGTGCGCACGCACCCCCTCCACCACCGAGCTCCAATACCTGCCCGCCACCTGCCGCTCGTCCATCGCCTCTACATTCCCCTCGCTCGTCGTGTCTCCCCCATCCCCACCCTCATTCCCTCTCGCCCACCACAACCCTCCCTCGCCTCCGCCGTCTGCCTCTCCCGCTGCACCCGCACGGGCATGCGTGGCGGCGAGGGGGAGGGCGAGGGCGAGGAGGGGCAGGGTGGCGGAGAGGCAGTCAAGCAGCGTGCAGAGCGCCAGCAGGCGCACGCGGGGCGAGCGGTGCAGCAGGGCGCGCGTGAGGGCGGGGCGCGGCAGGCACGGGGGGAGCATGCGGGCGAGGAGAGGAGAGACGTTGGGCGAGGGGAGGTGCAGGGAGAAGGGCGCGGAGGGGGAGAGGAGGGGCATTGTGGCGCACACGCGCACGAGGCGGCTCACCAGCGCCATGCCCGCGAACCTGGGGGAGGAGGGGTGCGGCATGGGTGGGATGGGGACAAGCGGTGGAGGGGCCATTTGACGGGGTGATTTGGGTAACGGGATGATGGAGATTGAGAGAGAAGAGGGGCGAGGAGAAGAAAGAAGATGAGAGGAAGCAGATGAGAAATGGAACAACCGATGAGTGCAACAAGGTGTTTGGGGTGAAGCAAGGCACATGGCAGCGTAGCGTGGTACCAGTGGGCGTGCGGCGTGGGGTGCAGGGAGAAGGGAGGGCGCTGCAGGTACGCGGCAGCCAGGGGAGGGCACGCCTGGGCCATGGCCAGCAGCAGCGAGCGGTGCGCTGCACACTGCAGCACATGCAGCCCACGTGCGAGGCGAATGAGACGATCCATGCCGGCCGACCAATGAGAGGAGGCTTGGGAATCAGCAGCGAAGGAGGCCGATCCGCCCTTGCCCGACTCCCCCTCCCACACCCCTCCCGCACCCTCCGTGCCCGCCACCCCCCCCTGCCCTTCCTTGCCCCCTCCTCCCATCCCTTCCTCCGCCATATCCTCCCCCTCCCCCTCTTCTTCCATCCCCTCCTGTCGTCTCCCCTGCAGCGCGGCCCCCCCAATTCCCCCAACGAGCACGCCATGGCGGGGGTGCGTGCACACGGCCAGGAGCACCTGCAGCGCCATCCCTGCTGCCACCGCCCCCGCACCCCCCTCCCCGCCGTCCCCCTCCCCCCTCCCCGCCACACGCGCCATCTGCTCCAGCGCACTATCCCCGAACAGAGCTCCCTGCAGGCCACGTGGCACATTGCTGCTGGCAGCCATGACCCGCGCATGCAGCACCCACAACACCTTGCCAGCTGTCACGGAATGGTCGCCCGCTAGACGCCAGAGAATGCCGGCCAGGTTGTGCCTGTGCGCCACGATGGCATGTGTGAGAGTGGCGGCGTCCGCCACAGCAAGGCACGCCACCACCCACTCCGCCATCAGCACGCGCGCTGGCACCTCCCCCACGTCCGCGCACGCCCCCACCCCTTGCTTGCCCAGCAACACCCCTACCGCCCCCTTCTCCCCCTTATCCCCCTCCTCCCCCTCCTCCCCCTGCTCCCCCTGCTCCTCCTGCGCCCCCCCCACGACCACCGCTGGTGTGCCTGACCAGAACACGGCGTCCGCTGCCCCCCCTTGTGCGCCCACGTGCTTCCCACTCTCGCCTCTCCCTCTTCCCCCGCTGCCCGGCGCCTGGGAGGGCGCGGGGGGCTGGGTGAGGGCGGGGAGGGCGGGGAGGGAGAAGTCGAAGGAGAGGAGGAGGTAGCGCGTGAGGGCGGGAGAGATGAGGGAGAGCGCGAGCAGCAGGCGCAGGGCGGAGGTGGCGTGCGCATGGGAAGGGGAGGAGAGATGCGTGTAGAGGCCGCCCTTCCTGCAGCACCGCGGCACCAGGGCGCGCGCCAGCGCCTCTATGCGGCGGGGGAGAGACAGAGGCGCGCCCAGCACGGGCGGAGGGACGGAGGGAGGGGCGCGCGCGGGTGTGTGGGGGAGAGGACGCGGCGTGTGCGCGGCGAGGGCGAGGATGTCCGCCAGCACCGCCATCAGCGGCACGGCCACCTGCGGACGGGCGCGACGAGGGACGCGAGGAGGAAGGAGAGAGGGACACTGTGAGTGAGGGCACGAAAGCCGGGGGGAGTGAAAGAGGTACTGGGCGCAGGGTTTACGAGCGGGATTACGGTTGGGGGTTCAGCAGCGCGTGATCAAGGCGTTGCAACTTGAGTGCGCAGCGACGCGGGGAGCGGAAGGGGCGGTGAGCCCACCTGGTGCGAGGCGCCGCGGCGGTGGCAGGCGTCCCACAGGCGGAGCAGCTGCAGCCAGTCCGGCGGCGACACGCGTACGTACGCGTCGACGGCCCGCGCGCCGTGCTTCGCGATCCGCGCGTGCAGGCGCTGCAGCCCGTCGATCACGGCGGCGGGCTCCGCCTTGTCCAGCTGTGCCACCGCCTTGCGCACCTCCGCCCCCATGCGCTCCCTCCGCTTCCCCGCCTCCTCCGCTGTCGGCCCCTCCGCCCTCCCCGGACTTCCGACGTCGTCCTCCCCTTCCGCGCCTCCCCATTCTGCCCGGCCCATGATGCCGCTCGCTCACCCAACAGTTCCTACCAGCTACCAACTACGTGCCTCACAGGTGGAACGGTGCAATCAGCGTGCGCGACGGCATGGGGTGGGAGCGCCCAGTCTAAAGCGACGGCGGTTGCGCGCGCTACCTGAGGACGAACGTCGCGCACAAATCTGATGTGTGACGGGAATTGGTACTCTCGCCATCCTTTTGGCGAGGAGACGCTATGCGAGCTTCGTGAGTCGGGTCCCAAATTGAAACGAGGATCAACTTTCCCGTCATTGGGTTGAAACCCAAAAGCATAGATGGTGCAGTGATTGGAGCTCATACTCGCTATTGAAATACAAATCACCGTTTCTACACGCCTCATGTGAGAAAAGAATAGTGTAGGCACGGATAGCACACAACCATCACACCACAACCATCCTGCCCCGAAGCCTTCACCCCACCTTTCCCTCTCGCACGTTCACTATCTCCGTCTCGCGCTGCTCTCACCTCACTGTCGTTGCACGGGCCTCGTGAATTCTACTCACTGTCGTCGTCCTACCTTACCTACTCGTCGCACCCACCAGTCGCTCCATCCATTCGTTGTCGACTGTGCTCACCGAGGTTCGCGAGTCCTCGTGTCGTGAGGCCACGTGTCCTTGTCGCCTCGCCTTCACCGCCATCCTTCGCATCGACCCGCTCTCCGCGTCTTGCGCCCTCTCCGAGCGCGCGCTCTGTCCGCGATGCCCACTCACCTGCCGCACGCCGACGTTGCCTCCCCCGCCGCCCACGCGCTGCACTCCTCGCCGTCGGCCCTCATGCCTCCACCAGGGGCGCCCGCCGCCTCCCCCTTGCCCTCGACGCCCTCCCCCTCTCAGCCCGGCTCCTACCCCATGTCGCGCGTCGCTCCCCCTTACACACTTGCCGCTAACGCGCCAGGCGGACTGGCAGGTGGCGCGATGGGGGGAATGATGAGTCCCACGGCGAGCGCGCAGCTGCGCTCGTCTGCACTTGCCAACAACCCTAACGCCTCCGCGCAAGGTGCGCCTTCCCCCTCCGCCATGCCGCCAAGCATGGGGAAGGCCGGCGCTTCCCCAAGCTCCTCTGCTTCCCTTCCCGCCCTCCCCTCCTCCCTGCACCTCCCCGCCAACATGCGCGGCCCCCAGTCCGCCCCCACCATGTCGTCGCACTTCTCCCCCTCCTCAGCCGCCCCCCAATACCCCTCACAGGCGCAATCCGCGTCGCCTGGCGGAGCCTCCTATTCCCCCTCTGCGCCACACCTGCAGCAGCAAGGCTACAGCGCCAGCCCAGGGGGAGGCGCGCGGGGCGGAATGCAGCAGGTGGGGGGAAGCGGAGGGCAAGGGGGAACGGAGCAGGCAGAGCAGCATGGGAGGGGGGTGGTAGGGTCAAGCGGCATGGGATATGGAGCCAGGGGACAGGCAGGCGCGCAGGTGCGATGTGGTGTGGTGTGGTGCAATGTGGTGCGTTGCGTTGTGCATGGTTGTGCGAGGGATGGCGTGGATGGCTGGCATGGCAGCGAGGCAAGGCCACAAGGGCGCCCCCACAGGGTCACAGACCGCTGCGTGCCCGCCTCCCCATCTCGTGCAGCCCTACTCTCATCTCCCTTCCTTTTACGCTCCCCCCTTCACTGTCTCGTCTCGCCTTCTCCCTGTGTCCCCACGCGCCCCCCGTCCTTTTTCCCCTTTTTCTGACTTCCGTCCACTCCCTCCCTGAATCTCTCTCTCTCGTTGCACATTCTCCTTCCCACCCCTTCATCTCCTCTTGCACCCCCCGCCCATCCCACAGCAGCACGGGCAGCATGGGCCGGTGGGAGGCATGTCTCCCTTGTCGCCCACCCAGGGCAAGCAGCAGCACTTCGCCCCCTCTCCGCATCACCACCAGCTGCAGCAGCAGCAGAAACAACAACAATTAAAGCAACAGCGGCAGCAGCAGCAGCAGCAGCAGAAACAGCAGCAGCAACAGCAACAACAACAGCAGCAGCAACAGCAGCAGCAGCATCAGCAGCAGCAGCAGCAGCAGCAGCAACAACAGGCGAAGGCGGCACAGGCAGCACAGCAGCAGGCGTCTGGAAGGGTGCCAGGCCGACCAGGTGCTGCTGCTGCAGGCAGCGGCTTGGGGGAGGCTGCAACTGGTGCAGGCGATGCTGCTCACGCCAATGTGGAGGGGAAGAAGCTTCTGGGAAAGAGGACTTTGCAGGAACTGGCAAAGCAGGTAGGCAGCGGGTGGGTGAGTCAAAGGATGCACAGACCAGATGTTGAGTGCTCTTGACCGTTTTTAAGGCGCCTCAAAGGATGCACAGGCCAGATGTTGAGTCAAAGGATGCACAGGCCAGATGTTGAGTCAAAGGATGCACAGGCCAGATGTTGAGTCAAAGGATGCACAGGCCAGATGTTGAGTCAAAGGATGCACAGGCCAGATGTTGAGTCAAAGGATTCACAGGCCAGATGTTGAGTCAAAGGATGCACAGGCCAGATGTTGAGTCAAAGGATGCACATGCCAGATGTTGAGTCAAAGGATGCACAGGCCAGATGTTGAGTCAAAGGATGCACAGGCCAGATGTTGAGTCAAAGGATGCACAGGCCAGATGTTGAGTCAAAGGATGCACAGGCCAGATGTTGAGTGCTCTTGGCCGCATGCACGCACCGTGCCCATCACTTTCCTCTTCACTCAGTCCCCTGAAAGTAATTTGGCATGGTATAGGTAACGACATGAGATGAAATCTGTGGCATGTGGCACGTGGCATGCGGCATGTGGCGGCAGGTGGATGCGCGCATGCAGCTGGACCCCGAGGTGGAGGAGGTGCTGCTCGACCTCGCCGACGACTTCATCCAATCCGTACCAACCACCGCCCCCCGCCCGCCCCACTTCCCACGCATCCCACTTGCACTTGCTAGCCCGTCACCTGCTTGGCACTCCCTCATATTGTTCATTGTTCCGATGCATATGTTCCACACGATTGGATCCAATCTCTTCATGTGATAATGCTTGCATGGATGGTTTGTGTGCTGGACTGGCATGTGTGCGTGATGGTGGCATGTGTGCATGGATGGCATGTGTGCATGGATGGCATGTGTGCATGGATGGCATGTGTGCATGGATGGCATGTGTGCATGCATGTCTGTGAGAGGGCAGGTGACAGCGTTTGGCTGTCAGCTGGCGCGGCATCGCAAGTCGCAGGTGTTGGAGGCCAAAGACGTTCTGCTGCACCTCGGTGCGCCTACCTGCTGCCCCCCACCACCCTGCCTTTTCAGTCTGCTCGTTGTTCTTGCGCCGCCTGCATCCTCTGCTGTCTCCTCCGTGGCCCCCATGCCTTGCCATTCCGTGCCACCCACTGCTGCTTGTGTGTTCCGTGTGTGTTGTGTGTGTGTGTGGCAGAGCGCAGCTGGCACATGCGCATCCCTGGCTTCACGGGTGACGATTACCGCGTCTACAAGCGCCCTGTCAGTGCTCTTCCTGCGCCCTCTCAGTGCTCTTGCCGCGCCCTCTCAGTGCTTTTGCTGCGTGTCGCACATAGGTGACATTCATCTGATGGCTTGGGCAGTGATGTGGCATTGTGCGGTGTGGCTGCGGTGCGGCACCAGGAGCTCACACTCTCTCCACTCATCTGTCTCCCTTCCATCTCATTGTGCGCAGCCTGTCACAGAGGCGCATCGCCAACGCCTCGCAGCAGTGAGTGCCTCTGTGTTTCTCCTTTGCTACATCTCTTGCTGCATACCCATCGGTCACCACATCTCTTGCTGCATACCCATCTGTCACTACATTGTCTGGTGCGTAATCCTATTGTCATTAGAACCGAACTGCACTGCCCCTGTCAATGTGTCACTGTACCGACATGCCTCATCCTGTCCATCACGGCATGGCATGCTGCTCACCTGCGCCTCATCCTGTCCATCATGGCATGGCATGCTGCTCACCTGCGCCTCATCCTGTCCATCATGGCATGGCATGCTGCTCACCTGCGCCTCATCCTGTCCATCATGGCATGGCATGCTGCTCACCTGCGCCTCATCCTGTCCATCATGGCATGGCATGCTGCTCACCTGCGCCTCATCCTGTCCATCATGGCATGGCATGCTGCTCACCTGCGCCTCATCCTGTCCATCATGGCATGGCATGCTGCTCACCTGCGCCTCATCCTGTCCATCATGGCATGGCATGCTGCTCACCTGCGCCTCATCCTGTCCATCATGGCATGGCATGCTGCTCACCTGCGCCTCATCCTGTCCATCATGGCATGGCATGCTGCTCACCTGCGCCTCATCCTGTCCATCATGGCATGGCATGCTGCTCACCTGCGCCTCATCCTGTCCATCATGGCATGGCATGCTGCTCACCTGCGCCTCATCCTGTCCATCATGGCATGGCATGCTGCTCACCTGCGCCTCATCCTGTCCATCATGGCATGGCATGCTGCTCACCTGCGCCTCATCCTGTCCATCATGGCATGGCATGCTGCTCACCTGCGCCTCATCCTGTCCATCATGGCATGGCATGCTGCTCACCTGCGCCTCATCCTGTCCATCATGGCATGGCATGCTGCTCACCTGCGCCTCATCCTGTCCATCATGGCATGGCATGCTGCTCACCTGCGCCTCATCCTGTCCATCATGGCATGGCATGCTGCTCACCTGCGCCTCATCCTGTCCATCATGGCATGGCATGCTGCTCACCTGCGCCTCATCCTGTCCATCATGGCATGGCATGCTGCTCACCTGCGCCTCATCCTGTCCATCACGGCATGGCATGCTGCTCACCTGCGCCTCATCCTGTCCATCATGGCATGGCATGCTGCTCACCTGCGCCTCATCCTGTCCATCATGGCATGGCATGCTGCTCACCTGCGCCTCCCAGGTTCGCCGCTCTGCAGCCATCGCAGCCAACGAGGCACACACCTCGCCCTCTGCTGCTGCTGGCCCCGCCTCCACCGGTCCCCATGGCCACTCTGCTGCTGCTGCAGCACACGCAGCACAGGCTGGCGGGTTTGACCAGGGAGCACATGCGAGCATGGCGAAGCTAGCATCTCCCAACTTCAAAGGACCTGGAGGAGCATCAGGGCCGTTGAGTCCTGTGGGAGGCACGGTGCAAGCGTTCAAGCATCATTGAAAAGAAATAGCATTCGGGAAACCAAGCTTTTTAGAAGCGAGGGGTGCTTGATGTATGTTTTTGTAGTGTTGTCCACTAGATGTATGGTGTACCAGTAGGCAAAATTCGGGTTTTTATAGGCAGCATTCGCTCGCACCTCGACATCTCCGCGAAAGAATTTCGTGGGTGTCGACTTGGCGCTACGCCGTTGGTCCATCTGCAGTGCCCTCGTCGCCATCACCCCGCGCGTTATCGTGTTTCGTGAACCGCTGTGCTGCTCTTCGCCACGCACTCAGTTGCCCCCACCCCGATTCCAAACACGCTCCTTGAGTGCCTTCACACCGTTCCACGTGCCTCTCACCGCATTCTGCGCCTGCCGTAGCGCACCGCATCTTCGTCTCGACAGGATGTCGGGACTGGCGATGGATGCCCGACTAGCGACGCGATCTCACCTGTCGCTTGCAACAGTCGCACAATCGCCTCTGCGACTAAGCGAAAGAGGTGTAAGAGCATGGCGAGTGTCGGCAACTCCAGGGCTGCAACCAAGCAACGCGCAGTCGCTGGCATGGCGCGAATCGCGGCACGCACCTCTGGCCCTCTCGCCCATGCGGCAAACGCGGAGAGGGCGGTGGGCTGTTGGCGCGGCGAAGGGGGGAAAGACGGAGGGGACAGGGGCGGAGGGGGCAGGCGCGGAGGGGGCAGAGTCGTCGACGGCGTTGACAGCCGTGGAGGCGCAGCCGCTCGAGAGGCGACCAGATAACTGTGAGTGGGCAGGTGTACACGTGAATCGCCTGGCAGCGTCGTAGGGCGTGAGGTGGGGGTGGCACGTGTGGTCCGCGTAAGAGACGCGCAGTAGAGGCGTTGACGCAAGCGCACGTGGAGGGCGCATTCGCTCTCCCGTTGTTTGCCCTTTCCCCTCTTTTCACGTTCCATGCGCCCCCCGTACTGCTCCCCCCGCGTGTCTTTTCCGTGCGCCCTACGACGGGTGCCACAGGGGTGAGTCCGGCGCTGCTGCAGGAGATGGGCGAGGAGGACCGCACGCCGATTCAGAAGTGGCTGAACCCGGGGCAGGACGAGCTACCGGACGACGTGCCCATGAGCATCTGGGACCACCTGGAGGAGCTGCGCGAGCGCGTGCTCGTGTCCGTGGGCGCCGTGGGCGCCGCCATCCTGCTGTGCTTCTTCTTCAGCCGCGACCTCGTCGTGTTCCTCGAGGCCCCTGTGTACGCCCAGGGCGTGCGCTTCCTGCAGCTCTCGCCGGGGGAATACTTCTTCACCACGCTCAAGGTGAGTGAGAGCCGCTTCACCACGCTCAAGGTGAGTGAGAGCCGCTTCACCACGCTCAAGGTGAGTGAGAGCCGCTTCACTACGCTCAAGGTGAGTGAGAGCCGCTTCACCACGCTCAAGGTGAGTGAGAGCCGCTTCACCACGCTCAAGGTGAGTGAGAGCCGCTTCACCACGCTCAAGGTGAGTGAGAGCCGCTTCACCACGCTCAAGGTGAGTGAGAGCCGCTTCACCACGCTCAAGGTGAGTGAGAGCCGCTTCACCACGCTCAAGGTGAGTGAGAGCCGCTTCACCACGCTCAAGGTGAGTGAGAGCCGCTTCACCACGCTCAAGGTGAGCGCCACCTTGCGATGCAAGGTAGACGCGTTTAGCACCTCAAGCACAGCACACACGCAGGCATCCATCGCATGCCATGCCCTGTGGTGTGACCCATGTCATGCCCACGCCATGCCCCCCGTGGCCATACCATGCCCCATGCGGTGCGTCCGTATCATGTCTCCCCATCCCTGGCTGCAGGTGGCGGGGTACTGCGGGCTGCTGCTGGGCGGCCCGGTGATTTTGTACGAGATAATAGCGTTTGTGGTGCCAGGGCTCACAGCCAGCGAGCGCCGCTTCCTGGCGCCGATAGTGTTTGGGTCGTCGGTGCTCTTCTACGCGGGCATCGCGTTCAGCTACGTTGTGCTGACGCCCGCCGCGCTCAACTTCTTCATCTCATACGCGGAGGGCGTGGTGGAGTCGCTGTGGTCCATCGACCAGTACTTCGAGTTCGTGCTGCTCCTCATGTTCTCCACCGGCCTCTCCTTCCAGGCAAGCTCCTCCCCTTCCAGGCAAGCTCCTCCCCTTCCAGGCAAGCTCCTCCCCTTCCAGGCAAGCTCCTCTTCTCCGAGGGGAGTTATTCTCCTAGAGAAGGTGTCCCTTTCCAGGGCAGCTCGTTGTATCTGGCATGCATGCATTCTCACCACCATGCACTTGCACGTCTCCACCTTTGCACGCCTCCACCTTTGCACGCCTCCACCTTTGCACGCCTCCACCTTTGCACGCCTCCACCTTTGCACACCACACCCCACATTCCCACCATCATATGCCCACGCGTCCTCCACCGTCACAAATGCGAAGTCCCACCATGGCTCCTTGACTCGCCCCCCATGTCCACTTCCTGCCGCGCACCCTCCCTCCCCCCTTGCTGTGTGTGCCAGGTGCCGGTGATTCAGCTGCTGCTGGGGCAGCTGGGGCTGGTGACGGCGGATCAGATGCTGGGCATCTGGCGCTACGTGGTGGTGGGGGGCGTCACAGCCGCCGCCGTGCTCACGCCCTCCACCGACCCGCTCACGCAGTGCCTGCTGGCGGGGCCCCTCATCGGCCTCTACATGGGCGGTGCCTACCTCGTCAAGTTGCTCGAAGGCTCCAAGTCCACCGCCTAGCCGCTGCCTCTATACTAGCTTGTGTAGGTAGAGTTGTTCGTTACTTATAGCTCGGTTGTGTCACATAGTTTAGGCTCCTCAAAGCAGCAAACAGCCGTGCCAAACTGCATGCAATTTTGTGAAGTTAGCACTGATTCTGCCACATGGCCGAGATGCAGTAGAAGAATAAAACTGGACTTGAATTGATCAGTGGAATCCGGCAATGTAAGTCTCTTGCATTACCACATCACTCTACACTTGTGCTTGCTTTTCCACTTTGGGGATTGCTTCCATTTCGACGGCGTCATAAGTTGTCAGCCCCGTTCCCTTGCTATCAGCACTGCCATCAGCACCGCCTGCACGAGTCACCGCACTCGATTCAGAGGTGCTGCCCGTCATTTCCAACGCTGCACTGCCCGCGGGGCTACCCTGCGCGCGGGGGGAGGTGAGGCGCGTGTGGGCGTGGGCACGAGGGCTCATGCTGGTGGCCAGCAGCACGTGCGTGGAGTCCCGGGTGCCACGGGGGGAGAGCGGATATGATTGGGGGGCGGAGGAAGAGGGCGAGGCGGGGTGGTGCAGCAGCTGCAGTTGCTCGGAGGACATGCCCGGGTGGTCAGGAAGGGGTGCATCGCTGAGCGTGTGCACCAGATGGCCGTCAGACTCACGTGCCTTGTTGCGAGACAGCCTGCCTCATTGAACCCACCCACATGCACATGCAAATGCGCACAATCTCGCGCGCGCGCACGTACGCGCGCGCGCTCACACACACACACACGCACACACACACACACACACACACACACACACACACAAACACACACACACACACACACACACACACACACACACACACCCACACCCAGAGGTTTGTATGTACCATCCATAGCTGGCAGATGCACATGTGCTGGCAAATACCAAGATCTACAGGCAACGAGACTTCGATTAGTTGGCACATTCAGAAGACGTCGATTCGGGCAGGCAATGTTAGTTGCTTGTGCCTTGCTGCACCGTGCCCTGCTGCCTGACTGCGCTGTGCATTGGCGTGGTTGGCACATGGAGGGGCATGGCGCTCACTTGTAGAGGTTGAAGAGGGAGACGCCGAGCATGATTATGAGGATGCCCAGCAGGTTGATGCGCGTGAAGCGATCCCCAAACACCATGTGCGACACCTGAGGGCCCGCAGTGGCAGGGGGGCAGAGGCGTGCACAGAGGAACAGGCATCGCGGCACATGCAAGTTGATCAGCATCAGGAAGGCAGAAGCATAGGGAGGAAAGAGCAACACATGAGTGGATGAAGAGTTCCTACGTTGCAGTTTCCCACCACAACATGCATGCATGGTACATGTGCAAGTGCACCCACCTATGCACCCACCTATGCACCCACCTGTGCACCGTCTGTGCACCGCCTGTGCACCGTCTGTGCACCGCCTGTGCACTGGAGCATTGCCATCTATGCATTTGCTAACCTCTTCTTCCTCTCCCCCCCCCCTTGTGGCTCACGAGGATGGTGGCGGCCTCCTTGACGGTGCCGGCGACAGAGAAGGTGACGGCGCTGGTCTCCAGCACCAGCAGGAACTCGGCCATGATCTGCCAGCCCCATGCACAGTGCCCCCCGCATACGCCACCCACGTGGGGCCCACATGGGGGATAGGACCCGTGGCCGTGGGAGCAGGAAGGGGGGAAGGGCTGTTGAGTGCAGGACAGGGGGTGACAAGGGTGGTGCTACATCCACACATGCACCAACACACACACGTGCACATGCACACACATGCATGCACACACCCGCAGATGTACACACACATGCACACACGCACGCGCGCGCACACACACACACACACACACACGCACACGCACACGCACACACAGAGAGACACACGCTCACACACAAACACACAATATAACACACACGCATGCACACACAAGCATGCACGTACCATGCAGAAAGCGAGGATTCCCCCCACTAGCATGATGGCGAGGCTCCAGAGGGCGTGCGGCCACGTGTCAAAGTAGGGCGAGGAGGTGAGCGCAGACCAGGGCTCGTGCAGCAGTGAGAAGATACCACACACGAGCGCCATCACGGGCGCTAGATAGGCCAGCGTGAGCAGCGGGTTGGTGAGACCTGGTGGGGGGAGGGGGCAGGATGGGGTTGGTGAGAGGAGGGGGGGACAAGGTGGACTGGGAAGGAGATAGTGGCATGGCAGGCAAGAGGAGGATTCTGGCGTGTGGCAGGGGCGATCACAGCACACAGGGCACAATGAGGCTGCACAATTTGAGGTAGGACAGGAGGAAGGGGCACGGCAACGGATGCTTACCAAGTTTATCCCCCTGCCGCGAGTGTAATCGGCAATAGGGGGTGGGGAGATGGTGAGTTGACATTTCATGGGTTGAGAATGCACATGTTGGGAACACGCACAGGGAAATAGGACACAAAAGAAGGGGGCGGTCAGTTGATGCTTACATACACAGCAGCACACAGCAGCAGCAGGAGCAACAGCACTTAACAGTACACAGCAGCAGCGCACCTGCAGGAGCACTTGCAGCAGCACCCATCTCAGTCCTGACACAAATGCTGCCACCATGACTAGAATGAAGCCCAGCAGCTGAAACTCTGTCTCCCCCGCCACTGCAAGCCACCCATGGGTACACGGAATGTTGGAAGCACGGATCGGGCTTTGCCATGCCAATTGGGGTAGAGGGCCTTATTTGTGATACAAGAGGAAATTTGAGCGTGGTAAGACAAATGCTGGATGATACTCGTAACACCCTTCTGACCCCCTCCTCCTCCCCTTCCCGTCCCCCCTCCTTCCCCCCTCGCCCACCTGTGAAGAGCACACCAACGGAGATGACGAGCATGATGCCCAGCAGCTTGAAGCTTGGCGTCTCCAGCCTTCAAAGGGCATGGGGGGTCGGAGGAAGTGGGGGTGGGAGGGGGGGAAAGGGGGCAGAGGTGCAGTAGCGTTGAGAATGAGGGGAATTGAATTGTACTGGCAATGGTGATGGCGACGGGGCGAATTGAATTGTTGTTGGTAACGAGGATGAAGAAGCGAAATGTGTCAGGTGTGTGGGTACGGAAGTAAATGGCGGTTATGTGCGGTGGATGGCGGTCATGTATGGTGGAAAGGCAGTCATGTGTGGTGGCTCACCGGAAGAGGAAGGCGAAGAGGAGGAGGAAGACAGGCGCGCTGGACTTGCACTGGGACACGTGCAGGGCAGGGGAGGGGGTTAGTCAAGGGGCGATGATTTATCCCGCTTGTGATACATGAGTCAATGATTATTCTATATGCATCACAAGATGCTTCATAGAACGCAGCTAAGCTAGAATGCCAGATTCTATTTCTTTGTGAAACGGCCACGTAAGTGGATAACTTTGTCTAAAATAACTGCAGTGAATGAAGCGGATGAGATCTGGCACAGTAGAGAGAGGGAAAACGGCCAGGAAGGCGTACCATGGTGTAGAAGGTGAGGGTGATGAGCGCGAGTGAGAGGTTGGAGAGGGCAATGTCAAGCGATGTGGCCACTGCCGTGGGCACCACTGCATGCACGTGGACAGCACAACAGCACACAGCACACGGGGCACAGGCCGACCCACGGTGAATTGTGGACAAGTAAGGACCGGTCAGACAGCCACCTGAAGCACCCTTGATGGACAAGTTCCAGAACGTGTATGAGTCCACCCCCCCCACCCCCCCCCCCCCCCCCCCGTCCAACATACCCCCCTCCTCTTCTCAAAGAGCTTACCTCGCAGGAAGTAGTCGCGCCAGGAGATGGGCGTGACGGGCAGCCAGGACTGGCAGCAGCAGCGCAGCAGCAGTGAGGCGACGCCGCCCTGCAGCAGGAAGTGGAAGGTGGTCATCAGCAGCGGCGCTGGGAAGCGCCCGTGCTTCTCGCCGATCAGCACCTTGTTGTACCTGCCCACCCCCCACCACCCCGCCCGTGCAGAGTGCCGAGTGCATGGCATGGCGGGGATGCATGGTTACAGTTAAGGGCGACGAAAGGTTGCTGACAAGGGACGATAAGGCCGAAAGGGACCGAATTTGCAGAGGCGCCAGCCCAGGGAGAAAATGGTCGCCCAGAGAGAGCAGCAGCTACAAGGAGAGCGGCATGCTTACAGGGAGAGCGCCATGCTTACAGGGAGAGCGCCATGCTGAAGGTGTACCAGAGCAGCACGAGCAGCAGCACCTTGACCACCGACCACAGCCACGGCTCACACCATGGCGACGCGCGCCCACCAAACGCGGATGCTGAGTCAGCAAGATCATCCTCCAGCTCGTCCGCCGGCACGATAACGTCTTCGCCATTCGCTATAAGCCGACTCGATTCCGCCTTTGGCGAGGCGGCCGTGATCGAGTCGGCTTGGATGGCATCGCTTGTGGCAAATCGCGGCGAGAGCAGCTCTTGGCTCTCATTGGTCGACATAACGGCGAACAGGAACAGCTACGGGGTGAGATTCATCATTGCACGAATGAATTCTCGTGGCAAGGTGGCGTGAAGCCTCGATCATAAGCTTCAGCGCGAATAGATGGACGAACGCGACTCAGCGTGGGACACAGGGTCGCCAGATCGCAGAATTGCTGCGCGTGGAGCTTCCTTCCACAGCGAGATCGACCCGAGCAGCGAGCGACTGCACGAGCTAGTCGCTCAGATTGCGGCGCCACTCCATAGGACGCCGTGAAGCAGGAGAGTGGCAGCGCTGGCAGAGCGATGAAGGATGGCTGGCGATGGGCAATGTGTGTGTGTGCCTCGCACTGCTCTGCTTCAACACATTCCAAAGGTTGGTCTGTCAGGCGACCCCAACAGCGAGGCAAACCAATTGGAACGACAAGCAGAACTGGGCCTAGGCTTTCTTCCTTCCCTCAGAGCAGATTCGCCAACGCGAGACTCGAAACGCTGTGGGTGGCTGGTTCGTAATTCGCTGTGCTTGTGTCAGATGTTATTTTCCAAGATGTGATGACCCTTCCGGAACTCGCTAAAAAAATGTATCCCGTCGCAACCCTTGCTGCCACTAGCAGCCCAGAAGCATCTTCAAACCTGCCAGCACCAAAACTTTATGACTGCCAGGAATCACCTTACGGTAGTTAGCGTCTGGGTTCTAGGTCAAGACTGACTGTGTAGTACCGACACTTACAAAAATTCAGCCGCATCTTGCGAGGGTGCGGAGCAGAACCTGCCACTCAGTATGGGGGGAACAGCGCCGTCGGCGTAGCAGTAGCCGCGGCCATTTTAAATTGATCAAAAGAATCCTGCAATGCAATAATTTCTTGCATTATCACATCACTCCACACTTGTGCTTGCTTTTCCGCTTTGGACATTGCTTGCTTCCGTCTCAACGACATCATAGCAGGTTGCCAGCCCCGTTCTCTTGCCATCACCACTGCCATCAGCACCGCCTACACGAGTCACCGCACTCGATTCAGAGGTGCTGCCTGCCATTTCAAACGCTGCACTGCCCGTGGGGCTGCCCTGCGCGCGGGGGGAGGTGAGGCGCGTGTGGGTGTGGGCACAAGGGCTCATGCTGGTGGCCAGCAGCACGTGCGTGGAGTCCCAGGTGCCACGGGGGGAGAGCGGATACGCTGGGGGGTCAGACGAGTAGAGCGAGGTTGGAGGGTGCAGCAGCTAAAGTTGCTCGGAGGGCAAGGCCGGGTGGGCAAGGAGGGGCTCATCGCTGAGGGTGCGCACCCGATGGCCGTCAGACTCACGTGCCTTGTTGCGAGACAGCCTGACATACAGCATGCATGCACACACGCACGCCCCCCCCCCCCCCCCCCCCCCCCCCCCACACACACACACGCGCGCGCGCGCGCGCGCACACACACACACACACACACACAGCCACACACACAGTGCTTTGTACCCTTCACAGCTGCCGACACAAGGCACAGCCACTGCCACAGCGCCTGGCATATGCACAGGTGCTGGTGGACATTCAGATGCGCAGGCAGCGAGACTTGCATTCTGAAGAGGTGGAGTCAGATATCGCCTTTGCCTTGCTGCACTGTGCCTTGCTGCCTTGCTGCGCTGTGCGTTGGCATGCAGTGGTGCAGGAGGGGCATGGCGCTCACTTGTAGAGGTTGAAGAGGGAGACGCCGATCGTGATGATGACGATGCCCAGCAGTTTGAGGCGCGTGAAAGGGTCGCCAAACACCATGTGCGACACCTGAGGGCTCACAAATTAAAGAAGGGGGTGCCGCAAGCACAGAGAAACAGGCGCGGTGGCACACATGAGTGGATGGCATGAGGCTGGCAGGAGCATAAGGAGGAGAGAGCAATGCGCTGCAAATACTGAGGAAGAAATGAAAGAATTAAGAGTTTTTACGTCGCACTTTCCCACCACAACATGCATGCATGGATACATGTGCAAGTGCACCCACCTATACTGTTACGCCCCCATCGATGCACCATATGTGCACCACTTGTGCAATGGAGCATTGCCTGAAACACCCATGCGTTGCACACCTCTCATTCCTTTCTTCTCCCATTCTCACCATCATCAATACTCTCCCCCCCCCCCCTCCTTAGCGCCTCACGAGGATGGTGGCGCCCTCCTTGACGGTGCCAGCGACAGAGAAGGTGACGGCCATGATCTGCCAGCCCCGTGCACAGTGCCCCGTGGCCAGGGTGGGCGTGGAGGCAGGGAGGGGAGGAATGGGCTGGTGGGTGTGGGGGCGGGGGTGACAAGGGTGGTGCTATATGCACACACACACGCAAACACGCATGCACGCGCGCGCGCGCACACACACACACACCATGCAGAAGGCGAGGACGCCCCCCAGCGGCATGATGGTGAGGCTCCAGAGGGCGTGCGGCCACGTGTCAAAGTAGGGCGAGGAGGTGAGCGCAGACCAGGGCTCGTGCAGCAGTGAGAAGATACCACACACGAGCGCCATCACGGGCGCTAGATAGGCCAGCGTGAGCAGCGGGTTGGTGAGACCTGGTGGGGGGAGGGCGTTAAATGGAGTTGGTGGGAGACGAGGGGGGACCAGGAGGACTGGGAAGGAGATCGTGGCATGGCAGGAAAGAGGAGGATTATGGCGTGTGGCAAGAGCAAGCACAGCACACAGGCACTGTGGGTCTGCACCCGGCAATCTGAGGTGAGTCAGGAAGAAGGGGCAAGGCGATAGATGCTTACCAAGTGTGTCCCCCTGTCACCAGTGGAAGTGGCGACGCGGGTGGTGAGATGGTGAGTTGATGTTCCATGGAGAAGTATACAAATGTTGTGAACGTAAGGGGTACACAGGAGACGAAAAGAAGAGGGTTGGTCAGTTGATGCAGCAGCACACACAGCAGCACATCAGTACACGGCAGCACTCAGCAGCGCACAGCAGCGGCACACCTGCAGGAGCACTTGCAGCAGCACCCATCTGAGACCCGCCATGAACGCGGCTGCCATGACGAGGACGAAGCCCAGCAGCTTAAACTCCGTCTCCCCCGCCACTGCTCGCACGCCACTCGTGGGCACAGGGAGGGTTGGAAGCATCGGATCAGATTTTGTGATGCCAACTCAGGTGGAGTGCTTGGAAATGGTAGTGATAAAAGAGGAGAATTGAAGCATGGTAGAAAAAACGTTGGATGGTCATCGCATTATCCTCCCAGTCCCCTCCCTCTCCCGTCCCCCCTCCTCCCCCCCTTTCCCACCTGTGAAGAGCACACCGACAGAGATGACGAGCATGATGCCCAGGAGCTTGAAGCTTGGCGCCTCCAGGCTTTCAACGGGCACGGGGGAGTGGAGGCGTGGGGGAGAGGAGAGAAAGGGGGGAAGTGGGGAAGAGGAGGGCTAGTGTTGTAAACGAGGGGAGTGAGATTGTTACGGGCAATGGGGATGACAGCCGGAAGAACTGAACTGCTGGTGGTAAGGAGGGTGAAGAAGAGAAGTGCGTCAAGTGTGTAGGCAGTGGGCACAGCAGTAGATAGCAGTCGCGGTGTGGTGGCTCACCGGAAGAGGAAGGCGAAGAGGAGGAGGAAGACACCTGCGCTGGATTTGCACTGGGACGTGCGCAGGCAGGGGAGGGGATAAGGTGCAAGAGAGAGGTGTTATGCCACTTGTTCTGATGCACCAGTCAACTATCTACTCTATGCATCACAACGTGCTGTGTCCACCGCACCCAAGTTTGAGTGCCAGGCTGATTTTTTTTCTGAAAAGGCCACGTAAGCGGATCGTTTTGACCAGGAAGACTGCAGTGGATGAAACGGATGAGATATCGCAGAGTGACGAGGGGGAATAAGGGCGGGAAGGCGTACCATGATGTAGAAGGTGAGGGTGATGAGCGCGAGTGAGAGGTTGGAGAGGGCAATGTCAAGCGATGTGGCCACTGCCGTGGGCACCACTGCATGCACGTGGACAGCACAAGAGCGCACAGCACAGCACACGGGGCACAGGCCGATACACGTATAAACAAGCAAGAATTCATGAGACAGTGGCCAGAAACAGCCTCAATGGTCACGTTGCAGGACGTGCATGAGCTCCAGAGCGTGCCCATCCCCATTCCCTCCCACCCACACGGCGTACCTCGCACGAAGTAGTCGCGCCAGGAGATGGGAGTGACGGGTAGCCAAGAGTGGCAGCAGCAGCGCAATAGCAGCAAGGCGATGCCCCCCTGCACGAGGAAGTGGACTGTGGTCATCAGCAGCGGCGCTGGGAATCGCCCGTGCTTCTCACTGATTAGCGCCTTGTTGTACCTGCCCACCCACCACACCACCACCCCGCCCATGCGTACATGCATGGCATGGCGAGAGTGCATTGCATAGCGGGAGTGCACGGGTACAGCAGGGGGCAATAAGTTGGTTACAACGGGAGATAAGGGCCAAAGGGCGCGGTGGATGGCGAGCTTACTGAGACAACTGATCACGTACTGGGAGAGTGGCAGCTGCACGGAGGGGTGGCTACACAAGAAAAGCGCCATGCTTACAGGGAGAGCGCCGTGCTTACAGTGAGAGCGCCGTGCTTACAGGGAGAGCGCCGTGCTTACAGGGAGAGCGCCGTGCTTACAGGGAGAGCGCCGTGCTTACAGGGAGAGCGCCGTGCTGAAGATCTGCCAGAGCAGCACGAGCAGCAGCACCTTAAACACCGACCACAGCCACGGCTCGCACCGTGGCGACGTGCGCCCACCAAACGCGGATGCTGACTCAGCAGAGTCATCTTCCAGCTCGTCCGCCGGCACGATAACGTCTTCGCCATTCGCTATAAGCCGACTCGATTCGGCTCTTGGCGAGGCGGCCGTGATCGATTTGGCCTGGATGGCATCCTTTGAGGCAATCCGCGGCGACAGCAGCGCTTGGCTCTCATTGGTCGACATGATGGCGAACAGTAACAGCTACGATGGCCAACCCAAAACTCTACGCGAATGAATTCTCGTGGCAAGGAGGCGTGGAGCGCGCGAAGAGGCGGAGATCGACCCGAGCAGCGAGCGACTGCACGAGCCAGTCGCTCAGATTGCGGCGCCACTCCATAGGACGCCGTGACGGAAGCAGGAGAGTGGCAGCGCTGGCAGAGCGATGAAGGATGGCTGGCGATGGGCAGTGTGTGTGTGTGCCTCGCACTGCTCTGCTTCAACACATTCCTAAGGTTGGTCTGTCAGGCGACCCCAACAGCGAGGCAAACCAAATTGGAACGATGAGCAGAGCCAAGCTTGCTCTCTTCCTTCCCTTCGTATTCGCTAAGGAGTGACTCGACACGGTCCTGATTCGCTGTGCCTGTGTCGGCTGTTATTTTCCTGGAAGCGATGAGGACCCTTTGAAATTTGCAAAACAAATGTATCCCGTCGCAACGGTCACCATCGCCACCCCCAGTCACACCCATCCCCAAACCCGCTAGCCCAAAACCTTCAAAACTGTCACAACTCTTAGCATCTGGGTTCTAGGTCGGGAGTGTCTAGTACACAAAAGAACGGCCACATCTTGCCTAGGGTGCGGAACCTGCCATCCAACATGGCGGGAACAGCGTTGTCGCGACAGCTGCGGCAAATCGCTCTCGCGACGGGCCCTACTGCAGCCGATGTCGTCACCAAGTCGAGCGGCAAACGAGGGGCGCTCATTAGGCCGTCCCTTATTTTCGAGGCAAAGGAAGCCGCTGACGTGGACGCGGAAACCATTCTACACATGGCGCAAGCAGGTTGGCGCGAAATCGTCATACCTTTTTCCTGATCTGCTAGCGTCAATTGCGTCTCGCGGGTCCCAAGATCTCGATGTCCGTGCTCTACACTGACGCGACACGGCTGCCCTCGCGGCTCCTAGCCCCGTACTCCTCTATCGCGCCACTATCCTTCACCCGTTGCGCCCAACCCGTCTCACCGTGCGCGCGTGCAGGTCTGGCGGAGCTGGTGGCGATGGACGCGCGCTTCAAGCCGTTCCTCACCACGCTCTTCTCGCCGGCCAGCCTGCAGACGGATCGCGACGACGAGCCGCCCGACGTGGTGGCGGCGCTGGACCGGTCGATCGACGCGTTCCTCATGCTGCTCTCCGACGCGCTGCTGCTGCCCCCCAGCCACAAGGCGCTCGAGTACCTCATCCGCAAGTACCGGTGCGCGCACCAACGCCCACTGCTTTTCCCCGATAGAGCTCCTTCCATGTTGTACGCACACCTCTGACTTCTCCCCTTCACCCCCTCGCTCCCACATTCTTCCTTTCCTTTCTCGTCACCCTTTCTCCGCTGCGCACCGGCTCCCCTTTCTGGTGTGGGTGCGCGCAGGGTGCAGCAGTGCAACGTGGACTCGCTGGTGCTGGCGGCGCTGCCGTACCACGAGACGAGCCTCTTCGTGCGCATCGTGCAGCTGCTCTCACTCAAGTAAGCCGCATCACGCCCGCTGCTCTCGTGCTCCACGAATTCACATCACAGACGTGGTCCATGCAGCCAATGCCGTCACGAATATCAGGGCCACAGATGATTAGCTCGCTATGCTCGTTGGCGGAGCTCCTGCATGGACATGGCAGCAGCCAGTAACAGCTGCTCCCCCCACACCTTCACAACGCCCGCCTCCCTTTTCCGTTGCGCCAGGCACTCCAAGTGGGCGCCAGTGCTGCACGGCTGCAAGGCCAATGGCGCGGCAATCCCGAGGGCGCAGCTCGTGCAGAGATGCGTCAAGGATGACTCCTTCTTTCATGCCATGTGCCATGCGGTATGCCTCCTCCAATGCCATGTGCCATGCGGTATGCCTCCTCCAATACCATGTGCCATGCGGTATGCCTCCTCCAATGCCACGTGCCATGCGGTATGCCTCCTCATGCCATGTGCCATGCGGTATGCCTCCTCATGCCATGTGCCATGCGGTATGCCTCCTCATGCCATGTGCCATGCGGTATGCCTCCTCATGCCATGTGCCATGCGGTATGCCTCCTCATGCCATGTGCCATGCGATATGCCTCCTCCCATGCCATGTGCCATGCGGTAAGACTCCGCCCATGCCATGTGCCATGCGGTACGCATCCTCCCATGCCATGTGCCATGCGGTATGACTCTTCCCATCCCATATGACATGCCTCCCCCATGTGCTTGCTGTTGTTTTCACTCCCTTCCCTTATGCTCAACCTCTGGTCCTCTGCCTGTGTTCTCCTCACACTCCTTGCAATCACCCTATCGCTCTCACCTTCGTCATTTCAATGCCAATGCTCGTCCCTCGTCCCCTTCAGGCGGAAAAGGCGGCCACCTGTGTGGTCCGGGACGGCCCTGCATCAGCGTCTCCCCCCACGGCTCCTGCACCGCCCGCCATGCGTCTGCTCACCTTCACGAGCGTGCTGCTGCTGGAGGCGCTGGCTGGGATGCGCGTGTCCGTGGATACGCTCTCCCACCTGCTGCCCTTTATCCTCAACGGCCTGCAGCCCTCCGCCCTGCACGAACACAGGGTACTTTTTGCTGCCTCTGTCCCCCCTCACTGTGCACCTCCTCTCCTCAGCGTGCCATGCTGCTCTCAATCAACCTAGCGTGCCAAGTCTCGTGCACCAGCTCAGCAATTCCATCCATTCCACTCCTCCGTGTGACTTCCTACCCCGCTGCCCACCCATCACCCACACCCCCCCCCCCCAGCTGGCGGCCATGATGCTGGTGTCACAGCTGGCCAACCGCTCGCAGCTCTCCACGCAGGTCGTCAACTCCCTCCTCGTCGCCCTCCTCTCCCCCACCCCTGCCGCTGCTCCCACTGCGCGTGGCGTGAGGGCACCGCCCACCGCCATCTCCATGGACGCCTTCCTCGTGGTCGTCCATCTCTCTGCGGTCAGTGCCCTCGCATCACATCTCCCATCCCCTCTCCTGTGCCTCTCATCCCATCGGGGCTCTTGTCTCAGTCTGTTCGACTTGTTGAACAACCTCATTTGTGTAGCCTAATGTTGCTCCATCTGCATGTCTCTTCCTCTGTTGTTCTGTGTGTCTCTGACAGACGCAACGGGTCCTGTCCCTCCCATCCAGGGCAGTCTCCAACATTCTAACTGACAAGTACGTCCGATCCAATCCAATGCCATGACTGTAATGCCATGTGTGGAATGGCATGGGATGAAATGAAATTACTGCCAGGCATTGGAAGGAGGGATGATTATGGGGTCATCATTGCAGTGGGTGGATCGGATGGGATGGGTCTGCATGGGTTTGGACAGATTGGATCCCCAGCTTTCCTTGAAGTGGTCGCTTCCAGAGCTCCCCCCATATCAGCTGTGCCAACTCCACCCCTGCCTGCCCCCTTGGCTCATGCTGTGGCTCACTATGCTCCGGCCAAGTGCCCTTCATCCTTCCGTAGAAGCCACTCTCCCTCGCTGTGCCTCCTCAACGCCCGGGATACGCTGCAGGCACTTTGTGGATGTGCTGAGCGGGGCGGCACACAAGTTCAACACGGCCAAGATTCTCCACCTGCTTGTTGACGCGCTGCTGCCCAAGATGTACGCGTGCCAGTGATGTATGCATGTCAGTGATGTGTGCATGCCAGTGATGTATGCATGTCAGTGATGTATGCATGCCAGTGATGTATGCATGCCAGTGATGTATGCATGCCAGTGATGTATGCATGCCAGTGATGCATCTATGCAGCCATATCGTCCCTTGCGTGCGTATCTCCCATCCCTCCCCCCCCTTGTGCCCCCCGAATGGCACAGTGCAACATCGCAGGCAGCGGCGGATGTGCTGCTGGCCATGCTGCGCCAGCTGCCGCGGGCAGCTCTCTCCCCGCTCGTGCCTCGCCTTGCCCTCTCCCTGCTGCGTTTCGCCATCGGCAAGGGCCTGCCACAGGGGCCCCCTGTCGTGCTCTCCTCCCTGCGTCAGTTTCACACCTCCAACTCAACTGCTCCTGTCCTGTTCTCCTTCTGCCATTCTGCATTCCTCTGCTCTGACTTCCGTGCATAGCCTTGTACCAACTAAACATCCATCTTCCCCCATCACTCGACTCGAATCCCCCTTCTCCACTCCCCCCGTTGGAAGTCAAATCCTCAATTGCCATTCCTTCCCGTTCTGCCCTCTGCACTCCCCGAACCCCAACCCTGTCAGAACCTCGCATCCAGCCGCTACTGCTGGCCCTCTCTCTCAAGTTCACCTCACCGACTGATGCTGCCATCGCTGCAGTCTTGGAGGTACGCCGCTGCAGTTTTGGAGGTAGGCCGCTGCAGTCTTGGAGGTAGGCCGCTGCAGTCTTGGAGGTAGGCCGCTGCAGTCTTGGAGGTAGGCCGCTGCAGTCTTGGAGGTAGGCAGGCTGCAGGTTGCTGTGCAGATTTTGAGGCACTTGAATCGTTGTCATTATTAATCTCAACTCTCAAGTCATTTCTTCATTCCCCTCCATCTTTCATCCTCTCCTTCCCCACTCCGTTGCCTCCATATTTTGTTCTAAGGCATCTCTGTCCCTTGCCCCTTACTCGACCTTTTAATTCTCGCCTTCACTGCCTGGCCTTCCATATCCTCTCCACCCACACCCCAACCAGTCGCTCGCATCTGCTCCTGCCCAGCGCGCCACGCTCGTGTCCTTCCTGGGCACCGCCCTCTCTGCCAGCCCCTGTGCGCTGCAGCAAGTTGATGCCTCTCCTGCTGCCACGGGGACAGGCGTGCAGCAGGAGCAACAGCAACAGAAGCAGCAGGAGCAGCTGTTGTCAGTTCATTTGGCGATTGATCATGCGCAAGTGAGTGCAGTTGACCATGTGCAAGTGACACATGAGGCACTCAGCACTCAATCCTTCTCTCTATTTCTCATCTCCTCATCTTTCATCACTAAGCATTTCCTCTCCTTGCCTTCCCACCTCTCATGTGGTACCTGTCCCTCCTGGGTGCGTGTGGCAGTGGCAAGTGCGGAAGGCAGCAGTGGAGCAGCTCCCAGCGCTCATGGCGGCAGCAGGGAAGCACATGGACACGGACGAGGCGGCTCAAGGCGAGGTGGGTGCTGCTGGGTTGGGTCCAGGGAAGGCAGTGGGTGTGTGAGGAAAGGTGTGAGCAGATAGGGTTGATTGTGTGATCGTTGGGGAGTCGGTTTTGGCAATCGTATCCACCTGGTGTCTTTCCACGCACATCTCTCTTCCCTGTTGAGATGCTTTCACCGTCCATCATTCTCTTACACCGCTTCTGTGCTCTGGCCTCCTCCCTTCCTGCCTCTGTCCCCTCTCAGGTGCAGTCATTTGTGTCATCTGCGCTGCAGCGTCGACTGGCAGATGACAGCTGGGAAGTGCTGCACGCTGCTGTCACCTCTCCGCTCCTCCCACGTGCCCTTTCTGCCTCTCTACTCGTCGCCCCTCTCAAAGCCATTCTCCTCCGCCCCCTGCCGCCTACCTCTGAGCCACTGCCTGCTCACATCAAGGGTATGTAAGGCACAGAAGGGGCTGCTGCTCTATTACTCACTCTACGTTCTAAAGTGCAACCCATTGCCGCAAAACACACATGGCCTCACTTGTCCCCATCTGCCCGCATGTGCCCCACATGGCCCCATCCCATGTGCCCCTGTGTGCGCCATGTGCCCATTCACAGAGTGTCAGAGCACCGCCCTTCACCTCCTGCGCACGGCTGTCATGGGGCCAGCGCTCAAAACACATCCGGGAGAAGGCGAGGGGCAGGGGAGCGAGGAGAAAGAGGAAGGGGGAGCGGGAGGTTTGGTGCAGGGGGTGGCGGAGGAGGTGATGCCACATGTGCTGCTGTCTGCTCTCATGCCCTCTCAGGTGACAATCCCCTTTCTCTGCCACAACTCCGCATCTCTCTCCCTGCCATGCAACTCATGTTCTCTGCTTCTGTACTTAACGCCTTCCAACCTGACACCCTCTCGCCCATCACTCCCTCATCCTCCCTGTCATCCCCACCCGTCTGTGCAGCCCCACTGCCCTTCCAGTCCCCTCGCCAACCCCCAGATGCTGCACGAGGCTCTTCTCATGGCACAGCAGCTCGCGCCTCACTTCCCCCTCTTCCTCCACCTCCCCTCCCCTTCACTCGCTTCCCTCTCCTTGCCCTCTTTCTCCGCCTCCGATGCCCTCTCTCTCGTAACCTTCGCCCTTGCTGTTGCCATCACACCACCTTCCCTCTGTTCCGCACAACGACCTGCCTCAAATGACATGTGGCGCACTGCCATTCGCTTCAGCCGCTCTGCGTTTGCTTCATCCTCTGCTGCTGGGCGACAGCTGTTGCTGCTTGCACTTCTTGGGGCGGCACACAGCCTCCCTGCCACGTCAGCTTCGCTGGAGTCCGCGCTGCAGTCACGTGGCAATGTTAGCGTGGCAGGGAGCATGGAGCTCCAAGAGGCGAAGGAAGGAGGAGTTATGGATTTTGCGGAGGAGGCAGTGGGGCTGGTGCAGGATGCGTGGAAGGGAGTGGTGGCGCAGGCAGTGCAGGGGAGTGGAGGGGAGGGGGAGAAGAGACGGAAGGGTGCTGCCTCTGTCCACCTGGATGCGCTGCTCTCCTCTCTCGCTCAGGTGCTGCCTTCAGCCTCTCAAGTGTCAGACCATGCACTTCCCCTCGTTGCCTTTTCCTGTTTTCTTGCCTGGTTTGGAAAAATCTTTTGTGATCTCTCCTTCCCTCCTGCCCACAGGCCGCATTCTCAGCAGCTCCAGACGTGCATGCTAAGATCTTCACGCTGCTCTCCACACTCCCCGCCTCCTCCGTCGACTCCCTCAGCCTCTCAGCCGACCTTACCATCTCATGCCTCTCATCCCTTCTGAGGAAGCTTCCAGGAGCCACCCGGATAAGTGATAGTGTGTCAGGACCACGTCAGCAGCGAGGAGTTGTGGCAGGGCGCGTGTTTGAGCTGCTGATGGGCACAGCAAGTCCCAGGGCTGCTGCTCTGGCGGCAGCACGCATAGCCGGTGCAGTGCAAAGGAGGGCAGAGAGGCAGGGGGGAAAGAGCGATGGTGAGGGAGGTGGGCGAGTGGAGCTTCAAGAGGCCATGTTGCAAGCGGTGAGGGACATGGGTCTGCATGCAGGGGAGATGGCAGGAGGGGAAGAGGGCAGCACGGGTCAGCAAGGCATAGCTTCTCTGCTGCAGCTGCTGCTGGCAGGATTCGCCACCCGAGCCTCCCTCCTCACCTTCCTGGACCCCTTCCTCCTGCCGTCCCCCTCGGGCTCGTCTCACTCACCCTCCCTCCAACTAGCAGCGCTCTCCCTCCTCCCTGCTGTAGCTGCTGCTGCAGTGCCAGGGGACGCCAAGGCCAATGAGGAGCTGCCACATGTGCTTGTGGGACTGCTGTTGCGCCTTATGGTGGCGGTGCAGAGCCCTCACAAGGTGAGTGAGACTGAAGCCGTGGGGCGTGAGAGCTCAAGCTCCACTATTGTTGCGTTTTACTCAATGTGTAGCCGTTGTGCTCCTCGCTTTTCTTCATAATTGTGAGCAGGCATCTCAGACCCATTTTTCGCCCCCATTACAATTCCTTCTTTGCTGTTGTGATTTTCAGCCTGTTCGCAAGGCAGCTCTGCACGCGTTCGCGACCCTCACGCAGGCGACCGCCACTCTCCCGAGTTCCAATTCCACCCTGCCCTCTCCTGCCTCTCTCTCACTCCTTGCATCCGCTTTCTCATCCGCCAAAGATGTTCTCCTCTCGGACCCCTCCCTACCATTTGCCCTCTCCTTCTCCTCCACTGTTGCCCTCTCCCCCGCCTTCGCATCTGCTGCATCCTCCACCTCCATTCCTTCCAAACCCGGCCAAGCTGCTGCTCTGCTCATTCGTCTGCTGGACCCCTCGTTTGCTGGGTCCACTGGCTCCAGGTAAACGAATCAATCTCTTTTCATGGCGTTTTGTTGTCGCATGCCATTCATGTCTGGTTGTGCTGTGTGTCGTCTGCTTCCCGTAACTGGTGTGGCAGCGCTTTTTTAGGCTCGGCTAGCTTCAATATCTGTTTCCTTCCGCATGCCTGTCTGTTTGCCATGGCAGCTTGACTCCCTCTGACCGTACTGTCCTGCTCTCGGCTCTCTTCAATGCTGCTCTCAGCCTTCCCCCATGGCCTCAGGTATCACACCTTTCCCTTCGACACACCACCGCAACCATCACAAACACGTCAACATGTCTGGCGCTGTACTATGTCTCCTTTTCTCACCCGCCCGTCCTTTACTTGGTGACTCTGTTTCCTGCACGTGGCATTGGACTGATCTTTCTGTTGCCCCACCCGCCACCTGACGTCTTGCAGGCCCTTGCTCTCTACATGCTCGCATCAATCCCAGCAGCCACTGCTCTCCTCCCGCTGGGCCAACTGCTGCCTCGCCTGCACGAGCTGCTCTCCCGCCGCCTGCACTGCCACCTGCAGCAGGCGCAAAGCGCTGCTGGGCTGCCACTGCCACATAAGCCAGCATCAGTGGATGGAGAAGCACGGTCGGGGGGGAGGCTGGAACTGGATGAGGTGCACCTGCTGGCTGTGGGCTTGCAGGTGCGCCTGTGAATGGAATAAACTTGACTCGACCTGAGTTCTTATGTCAAGCATACGCAATGGGGTTCGGCGTGTACTATTCACGCAAGTGCCTCGACGTTGCACCTTGTGGGTTTTGGGCTTGGGCCTCCATGAGGCTGCTGGCATGCGCTTGTTCATTCTCAGCTTCCCTAGCATGAAACGTTCTCTCTCCCACTGCACCTTGCAGCTTGTAGCTGCGGCCGCATCAGGAGGTGGGCAGGGAGGGGCTCAGGCAGAAGCAGATGTGGACGAGGAGATGAGGGAGGAAGGAGGCGAAGGAGAGGAGAGAGCGAAAGATGGGGAGGAGAAAGCGCAGCACACAGCAGGGAAAGGCGTTTCTGCTGTTGACGTTGCACCGCTGCTGTTCATGGCAATGCAGGTACAGTATACCAGGTGTGTGGCAGTGCATGGGACAATGGAGCTGGGGAAGGTGTGAATGTGCAGGTGAGGTTCAGATCTGGTGATGAAGGGCATGCCAGGTGGAAAGGCAATGCAGGCTGGCAATGTGGGTGCAGGGAACCAACATGTGCTGCTGACGTGCTCACTTCCGCTGCTCCCACTCTCTTCTCCTCCAGGTTCAGGGTGCCATATCAGCTGATGACGTGGCAGTGGAAGCCCCATCTATCACGGCAGCAGGTGTGGTCACAAATGACTTCTTGGAGGCGCTGCCAGACAACCACCAGGTGAGCCGAGCTTGAAGTTGTTCTGCCATCCGTTTTTCTCCTTCCATAGCAACAACATCATTAATCACTCGTCTCCTTGCTGTGCTGCATTCCACTCCCTCCCTCCAACCTGTGCCGCTTCACCTCGTCCTCTTCAGGATGGGCTCGTGGCGAGTCTGCTCTTCCTCATGGCAGCATCTGAGGCCTCGCCTGCAGCGCGCCAAGCAGCCAAGGAGGCACTTCGGCGCCTCAAGGTGTGCTGCTGCTGAGGGCTCATGTCATACATATATGCCCATACAGGACATGCTCCTGCCACTGGGTTTTTAGTATGAGGTGGATGCAGCCACGTTTCTCCATGCGGTTCATTCCCTCGCTCCAGCTGGCTTAATTATTGATCCCAAAATTCAAAATTCACACTATCATACGGATATTTCCCCCTCCTTCCCTCCCCTTTCGTCCCCCCTCTCAGCTGAGCCCAACCATGCTTGCGCGCCTCATCACGGCCCTCTTCTCTCCACCATCAGTGTCTCACGGCACCCCTCAGTCGACCAGGTCCAACAAGCCAGACATGGGTGCCTATGTGCCGCTGTCTGACTCGCTGCCAGTGGAACGACGTGTGGCTGCCGCTACTGCTCTGCTGGAGATGCTGCTGTGGAAGGAGGACGTCACAGCACAGCAGACGTGAGTTGGACGTCGCAGCACGAAAGATTGAGTTGATGATGTCACACCGCACTTGCAAGTAGCCCTGCAGTGTTGCACATTATGCCTGCCATCCCACCATGATCCAACCATGTTTATCGTTCCCTCCTCCCCTGCCCCATGCCCTTTACGTTGTGCCCATTCCCCAGCATCCAGCTGTTCCCTTCGCTGGCTACGGCCATTAGCTCTGTTCTCTCCCACTGCTGGCCGATGCTACCGGCACCCAACTCCACGGATGCAGAGGGAGAGGGGGGGGAGCAGGGAGGGCATCAGGCAGAGGATGGGGAGGGCGATGCGGCAGGGAGTGAGGTTGCAATGAGCGCCCAGATGCTGGGAGCCGTTGAATTCGTGCTGCAGCTGGTGCTGACGGTGGCGCGCAACGCCCTCTCCTCACACACACACGTGCAGGAGGGACAGGACGAGGAAATGGAGAGTGAGGGGGAGGAGGATGAAGAGGGCATGGAGCATGGGGAGGAGGAGTGTGTGGTGCACATGGTGGGGGCGGCAGTGGAGGTGGTGAAGGGGCGGAGGGACCCTGCCACTGCGAGTGCAGCCATAGCAGTGCTGGCAGCTGCGGCGGAGAGGCAGCCAGAGGAGGTGGTGGAGCACGTGGTAGCGGTGCTCTCTGTTGCCACCACAACCACCCTCGCCCTCGTGCGTTCCTCCCCTGCACCTTCACTCGCTCGCTCCTCCTTGTTCCCATCAGCATTTCCTTCCTCTTTGCTTCTGGCCTTGCTGCCTGTTGCTCCCCTTTTTGTGGCACTCCTCTTCGTTTTCGCTCTTTCTCTGTGTGGGTGCTCCGGTGGCTGAGCGGATGTTTCTGTGTCTCCACTCTGGGCCCATCTCGCGTTTCCCATCCCCATCAGGACATTCGGGAGTCGCACGATGCCATCCACCGGCTCGTGGAGGCAGTGCTTCCTGCATGGCTGCATCACAACCAGGATGTCACTCCCCTGCTTCAGGTGAATGCCAATCTCACTTTCCCGGTTAAGAAGAGTTCAGATGCCACTCCTCTGCTTCAGATGATTGCAGATGTCACTCCCCTGCCTCTGGTACCTTTCAGTAGAGGTTCGCCCCTGCTTCAAGTTCCACTGATATCAGTTACCTAGACCATTCGAAGCCCCCTCACTCTGTGTCATCACTCCTCCAGCTTGGGCCTATTGTGGAAACCCTCCACTTCGCCCACCCCACCTGACACCACCCCCTCTCTGTGCCCCTCCAGATGGTCGTCTCATCCCTGCCCTCCATGCTTCATCTCCACCGCATCGCCCTCCTCTCTGCTCTCCTCAGGTGCCTTCATCTCTTTCCAACCCCCAGTCATCTCCTTGCTTCCTTTGCCTTGTTCAATCGTTTTCCTCGCCCATCAGTCTTGCTCAGTCACTTTTCTTGAACAACTCTCCCGCTCCTCTTTTCCTTGTATTCATGCGTAACCTCTTGTACTTCCCATCACCCCACCCTCTCCGCTCCCTCTTGCTACCACAGAGGAGTCTCTCCGTCGTTGGGCCTAGCTCCGCTTCTGCTGCTGCTGCTAACCACCACAGGCGTCACACCCTCCCTTCTCACAGCACATGCCGAGAATTCCAAAGATACCCCTCGCTCTGCGCGGGCACGCAGGCAGGCAGCTCTGCAGCAGCACGCATACTGGAGGCGGCGGGGGGACAGCACAGGCGATGAGAAGCTAGGCGAGTGGGGGCTCAGCCTGGCATTTGAGCTCTGTTCACAGGTTCCAGGAAGCATCCGACTGGAGGCGTATGTGAAGCTCTTGGAAGCCACGTGCCCTCCAATCATAGCGCGACGGAAGGCGAGTGCAGCAGCAGATGAGGCGTGTGGTTGGTGGAGTGGGACGGGTCCAGATGATGATGTGGTTGTGGTGAGCTTCGTGGGTGCAGAGTTGCCGGCTGCAGTGGCAGCTATGGAGGAGGATGTGGGGATGGAGGGAGGGGCAGATGCAGCAGAGGGTGCAGAGGGAGGGCTCAACAATGAGGGTGCCGCTGCAATGGTAGCCCGTGACACCCAACACCGACAGCTGTTCGTGTCTCTCTTAGAGCATGTGGTTCTCCGCCTCCGTGCCACTGCTGCTGCTGCTGCTGCCGCTGGTGCTGTGGCCTCTCCCATCGCCGCCCCATCTTATCCTCCTGCTCTCAAGGACAGGGCGGACTTGGTGGCTTCAGCAGCATATGAGCTGCTGCAGATTCTGGATTCCGTCACCCCCAGTGGTGTGTTCCTGCAGGCTGTGCAGACGCTACTGACTAACCCCAGCACACACATTCGATGCAAGGTACTGCTCTTAGTGTTTCGCACACACACTTCGACCACCCCCATGTTCCACGGCGTTCATTGGCCCAGACTGCATGTACACCACACGGGCTATGCATTTCCTTGCATTTCCACACCTGCCTTTCTGCTCCCCTCTTCCTTTCGCAGGTTCTTCGGCTGCTTGCTGCCCGAGTGCGGGCTTCCGTGGCCCACACCCTCATGCCGCATAGCCGGGGCAAGGCTAGGAGCAAGCAGCGGTTGGCGCAGGCAGCTCAAGAAGAAGCGAGGGAGTATGCATCGGTGGCAGGACAGCTGGCGCACATGGGCGCTCTCGAGGGGGCTGACAGGTCGTTGGCAACACAAATGGCTGCTCTGCAGGTCAGTACAATAGAGCAGCAGCAGGCGGGCCACTAATTCTTGCTTCTGTGCAGCTCTTCACTTCACTCCTACTTCATCCTGTGTGGATACTTCACTGTGCCATCATTGCTTCGCTCCTTCGTTTTCCTTCACCTAAACCCCCTCCTGCCCCTCCCACTTGGCCCCCCATCTTTCCATCCTCAGACACTCGATGCCATAATCAAGCGCTTCGCGTCGTTGGCTTCTGACGACTTTTCCTCGGCACTGACCCCTCTTATTCGTATCATCTCCGCTCACTCGTCCCCACCACTCCTCACTGCTGCTGCGTTGCACTGTCTCTCCTCCCTCGCATCCTCCCTGCACCATCTGCTGCTGCCCCACCTGCCTGTCCTCATGCCGCCACTATTCGCCTCAGCTGATCGGGCCCTTGCTGCGGCAGGAAATGGGACAGTGGAGGAAACTAAGGCAGATGAGGGGGATAGGGAGGTTGGGGATGAGCAGATGGAGGAGGAGGGTGGGGGGCATGGGAGATCGGAGGTGGTGAGTGAGGGGGTGGCACATGACCTGCTGGCTGCTGTGTTGCAGGCTCTGGAAGCCATGCTGGCGGCCATGGGCCCTCTCCTCTCTCCCTTCACTCCTCGCATCCTCGCTTGCACATGTTTCAGTCCCGTGCTTCTCTGCTGCCCCTCAGCCTCGGTGCTGCAACATGCCCATGCTGTGCGACAGCTGCTCATTCAGAAGCTTCCTGTAAGGCCCCCCACTTATTCAACCACCCTATCCTTTGTCAACTGCCGTGTTCTGGGGCTCTTACACGCAAACTGCAGACATGGTCCGACTTCCAGCATCCCTTTTTATGCTGGAACATGTGCTTCAGAGCGGAAGATTGTGATTGCGGGCTGATTTTTCCATGCCGTGTCCCGCCCTTCCGCTCCCCCCCTTCCCCTGCTCCAGATGCGGCTGCTTCTGGACCCTCTGGTCTCCTCCTGGACCACGGCCACAGCTGCAGGCCCTGCCCCCTCTGCTGCTCTGCTGCACATGCTGGCTCGTGCTGCTTCCCACATGGACCGGGCTGCCGCATCCACCTTCCACGCCCGCATCTTCGACTTCCTCCTCCTCCGCACCTTCGATGTCCGCCGCGCCCCTCCCTTTCCGCCCTCTACTGACAGCTCCTCCAATCAGAGACTGCCAGGTGGCATGCAGATGGTAACAGCTCCTGATGTGGAAGGAGCATCAGTGGCCGCAATGGTGGGGTTGGTGATGAAGACGAGTGAGAGTGTGTTCAAGCCCATGTTTGTACGCGTGTTGGAGTGGGCAGCCAGTGAGTACGCTGCTGATGGCGATGCCATTTCGCCAGCAGGCAGAGTGGAGCGACACCTCACTCTCTTCGGTCTCGTCAACGTTCTCTCGGACAAGCTCAGGTACTGATGCTTCTGCTCCTGCTGCTACTGCTTCGGACAGCGAGGATCGGCTGTTGCATCAGCATGAGTATGCAAATTCTTACTACTGCTGCCTTGTGCTCCTTGCAACCCCTCCATTCAGGTCGGTGTTCGTGCCATACTTCCAGTACCTCTTTGACATTGCCATTCGCCACCTTGTTGGCACTGCTGATGCTGCCAAGGGGGGAATTAAGAAGAAGAGGCGCAAGTCAGCAAGCGTGGCAGCAACAGCAGAGGACAGCATTGCACAGTGGCAGCTGAGGCACCTAGTGGTGTGTGCTCTGCACAAGTGCTTCCTCTATGACTCCAACGCCGCCTTCTTGGATGCAACACGCTTCCAGGTATGCAGCCGTCCTGCAGTGATCGCAACGCACATAAGGAAGTCAAGAATGTGTGTGCCCTCTTCTTATCTAACAGCTGTCACGTGCTTGATGTGTTCAGGCTCTCCTGGAGCCCCTCGTATCTCAGATCGACAGAGAGCCTCCAGCTGGGGTGGCTTCCATTGTTTCTGCTCCGTCTGCTCCAGAAGCTCACTCAGTGGCTTCTCAGCTGTCAGAGGCACACCTGATGCTGGAGCCCTACATTGCAGCGTCTGTCCCAAGCATCAGCGCCGTGGATGATGAGCTCGTGACATGCCTCGGTGAAATGACCATTGCAGGGGGGTCTGATATCCTCTGGAAGCAGCTCAACCACCAGGTACTGTGCTGTGACAACCGAGTGCGAGTATAGTCTTGCCTTTGACTAAAGATTATGTCGACTTCTTACCTGAACTCCGGTGTTTCTTGTTTTGTGGCAGGTTCTGATGTGCACTAGGAGTGAGCGGGTGCGGTCGCGTCAGCTGTCTTTACGTGTTGTCAACGAGATTGTGGATCGGGTTCATGAAGAGTATGTTGTGCTGCTGCCGGAATCGATCCCCTTCCTGGCAGAGCTGTTGGAAGATCCAGATGCCAATGTCGCTGAGAGTGCGAAGAGCCTGGTGAAGAAACTGGAGGAGCTCAGTGGTGAGGAACTCACCCAGTACTTTTAAATGAGAGGCTGTGTGTGTACTGCACGCACTTTCTCCTAATGCTGGAGGCTTTTTACTGAATCCTGAACCATCATTAACTGGTGGAATTTCCTTCAAAAGTGTAATGCCCAGTAACTTGGTGCATTTACAACACCTACAAGAGTAGACACATTACATATCATTGCTGTGAATAAAATGCACTGGGATACATGTTGTCAAGGGTTCACATTGCATTGCTGCATAAACGGATGGTCTATCTTGACATATTTGGTCCAGTACCGCTTGAACTTGGTCATTGATATCTCAAGCCATGGCTTCATGTTGCCATTGTAATGCACCACTGCAGCACTGCATGATAAGAAATGAAGGAGGTTAGTAAGCGCCACATGCAAAAGGTACACATACAGGTGGACGGTATGGCTTACTTGTTGAGCTCATCCATGTCAAGGTTTGGATTGTAGCCAAGTCCAAGGGCGTGCCAGCCCTTGTCGATTGGCTGAGTCTTGTTGTAGAACGTGATCAGGCCAGGTGGTAGCGTTCCAAGCTTCCATAGAGTACGATCTTCATTCTGAAACACAGATTCACCGCTCAGTTGGTAAGCGTTAAACAATCTTTGTTATCAAGGATGCTTGGACACTTGTCTCCACCTTGACAGCCCTCATCAGGCTTTCAGGGTCTCAGCAGCCTACCTGCGTTTGCCATCTGTGATATATTCCGGTAATATCTTGTACTTTCCACTGCTTCAGGTCGAAGACATTCATCCCGTATGCCCAGCCGCAAGCCTGCAGGAAGCCAGATAAAGGAGAGTTGTTGGTGCTCATAGAATTTCATAGCAGACCAACTCCTGTTCCAGCCCTCAACTGACAAATGGTACCTGTGGATCGAAGTTAGAGGCTATCAATGGATTGGAGAAGTTGAGGTACTTGTCGAATCTGTGGAAACTGGCCCCACACGTCTCCACCGCACCATTCACATTTCCATGCAGGTCGACCTGCCAAAGGCAATGGGAGTTGTCAGACATTGACAAAAATGCATTAAAGCGAGAAGATGTATGGAGCAGCAGAGCAAGCACTTACATCCCACAGTGGTGTGAGATCCTTTTGAACCACGATGTCATCATCCAGGAACAGAACCTTGTCCAGCTTGGGGAAAACTTCAGGCAGATAGAACCGGAGGTGATTCAGCATTGACAGGTACTTGGGATTGCGATACTTGAGGTTTGCTGTTGCACCTCCCGCTGTTTCTGTCTGTTGCCCTGTCTTAAAATAGTAGTCCTGCAAACAAGAATACATGAGTTTCGGCAAATGCTATCCATGTGGTCCAAGCAGAACTACATATTCTTGCAGCGGCTCTTGTATTGTACCTTCATTGATGCAGATTCCAACTGCCTCAGAACAGGGCAGTAGGACGAGTTGAGCCAGGTGAAGTCATCAACGCTTTGAACCTCAATCGTTGCCTCCTTGGGAGGGTTGAAGAGAAACCAAGCCTGCAGGGAGATTCAGAATGTCAAATTTAACTCCCACCAATAATCTACTTTCTCAACAGCATCAACCATTCGACTCACCTTCATGGCCGCTATGTTGAGCTTGTCGGTCACTATGTGAAACACATGCCTAGATGAATCCTGAACATGGAAAATAAATGGAAACAAAATTTTGAAAGCCAGTAACACTGGGTGTGCAGAAGCAACTGTTAAAATGGACGTGCATTGGCAGTGGCAACAGTGGAGACAGACGTACATTTGCATTGACAACAGTTGAATTGACGACCACGGCTGTTGCAAGCACGTTGTCAGAAAAGAGTGCATAATGATGGTAGTCATTGTCTTCCAGCTTCTCCTTTCCTGGAAACTCCCGCTCCTCTGGAGAAAGGTTGCTGTATTCTATTGTCAGCCGCATGGAGAGACAAAAGATCCCCTTCGGAATGGTCTTTGCAGCGAGCTGACTCAGGAAAAGGCTTTGCTGCCTCAGAGCTTGATTCTGAAATGTTACCAAAAGAGGATACCGGTCAGCCATGGATGCAAGGATGGGGATGCAGCCACTAACAGATTGGGACTCACCTGCTCTTCAGCAGAATGCACCATGGCACGAAGCTTCTTCACCATTCCGGTGCAGTCGTAGTGCTGATCTCTCGCTCTGGCCAGCAATTGCCCCATGGCACGCATCTTCTCCACCGCACTGCAAGGCATGCAAAAGAACGCTTCAATTTTCTCTCCGGCGACTCAGAAATACGAAGAGCGTTTCACACTAGGTAGGTCAGTGGACGCGGACGACCTACTTGGAAGCCAGCTCAGCGTCTGTGGTTGCCTCGCCTAGCGACTTGGTGCTGTCCTTCATCCTGTTCTTCAGCTCCTTGGACAGCTTCGAATCCCCGTGCTGCTGCGCGATTGCCATGTACGCTCGCGCCATAATCAGCTGATCCTGAATAAGTCTAATCATCTGGTCCCCGCCTATCTTCTCATCCTCCCTACGCCAGATGCTGTATTTGTTCAGAGCGATGGCGGGTTCCGTGCCAGACCCCTTCTTCTTCTTCTCTTCCGCCTCAGCAGCGTCGTCTTCTATGGACTCCTGCGCGACCAGCTCGTGAAGCCGTTTGTCTCGCCGACGGATTCGGTTTTCCTGCGATAGATCTCACATGTAAGCACAAAGTCGCTGTACAGTAACAACACAAATTTGAGGAGCGGCGACGTACTCGTCTTATCCGTCGAGCAGGATCATTGGGATCCGGCTTAAGAAGGGCTTCCATCGCCCTCAACGACTCCGGATCCTCCCCTGCATCCACGCGCGGACCATCAGCGGGAGGCGACAAGAAAGTTCAACACAATGCGTAGGTAACTGGCGGTGCGACTTACCTTCTGCAGCAGCCTTGGCCAACAGGCTGGCGTGATCAGCAGTGGAAGCCCCCAACGTGGCGAGCGGGTCTTCCGAGGGAACCTGAAAAGCGATGAGTCAGTGACATCTGTGCTGTTATGCGGCAAATTCATGATATCGGAGCGAGCAGTATACTCACAGACTGCGCTTTCCGACGCCTCTCTTGAATTCGCTCCAGGGCAATCGATGTCGGTTCTTCCACCGACAGCGAACGCAAGTCCGGGAGGGACGAATCAGCCGCATTAGTATTAACGACGTCCAGTACCTAAGGGAGAACCGAGGAGATATGGTTAGCAAACTGATTGTGGAGAAAGTATATGCTTACTTCTCCACTAGCATGCATACCTCCTTCGGGAAAAGCGACTCTATCTGCTCCAAAGCTGCCAGACTCTTTGTCTCGGAGGATAAGACCTGGATATTTCGAAACTTGAAGGTAAGAACCGATTAGTATATAACTGATGGATAATTGATGGAAGTCTACGTGCATACCTGGTCTACTGTGCTTGCTACTGAGTTGTCACGACCTGCACAGGTGTAGAGTCGTTTGGGTGAGGAATGCGTTCGTCAACAATTGCTAAGTGTGAAAAAGCGATCCTTACGCGTCGTGGAAGAAGCGGGTGATGTCAACGGGCTAGACAGGCGATAACCGAAGAATACGAACGCACTAGCGAGAGCGACTACGGATATTACAACTGCGTTCCTGCACAAGGACAGTCCCCCTGTTCGTAACCTCATCAGGGAGGTCCGCCTGGCCTGAGCCAGGTGCTTTCCGCCTGACGACACCATGGCCAAATAAGGCCTAGCGAATCTTGACGCTAGTAAGCTTGTTCTAGGGACGCAACATAGCTATGGGAAACAACGGATGCTGTGGAAGTTGAGGGGAGACGTTAGAATCTCAGTAGCCTTGGTTCTTCTGTGTTTGATTCAGCTTCGCTTTCCCATCCCACCCATCTGTTGGGTCCGGTTCCCATCCCATACTGACAGGCCGCCTCACAGAGAAGGGTCGAACAGAAAGACGCATCGGTGTTCCCGCCTAGACAATACCGAGGTCAGCTGACAACAGCCTGGGAACTCCCTTCGTAAGAACTCCGCTTTCGATGGAAGTGTTGTCGTTGCAAGCACGTTTACACTGTTCCTATTTCACTTTCAGAAATGGTAAGTTCAGAATATGCCAAAAAACCTCCGTTGCCGGGATTTGAACCCGGGTCGCCTGGGTGAAAGCCAGGTATCCTAACCAGGCTGGACGACAACGGATGTCGTACAGTCAAACCAAAACTTTTATGTCTAGTCTTGTTTTTCGACAAGTCCTTCACCTACTTATCCATGCGGCAAGCTTCAGTCATGAAGGCCTTCAACCAAGCATTCAATCAGCCAGGGGGCGCGTTTCGAGTCCTCCTCGTCACCTTCGCGATTGTCCATTTCGTCCGAATCTTTCTGATTCCCACCGTCGCGTGGCTAATCGGCAGTGAGGAATTCGCAGACACCGAGCGCGTAGTCCGTATCATCGGGTTTCGCCCGTCGGGCCCGTGCTCCCTCCCGCGGCCAGTGAGCAACTGCACGGTGAACGAGCGCATCCACATCGTGCTGGTGAGCGCGCAATGGGACCGCGAGCCGTTCACGCGCGACGAGACGGAGGTGATTCTCAAGTCGATCCTCATGTCGACGCAGTGCCCGCTGTTCTTCCACTTCATGGTGTCGGGCGAGGCGGAGGAGTGGGGCATCTCCGACATGATGGAGCAGCTCGGCGCCGTGCCCTTCGACGCCGTGGGGCCCGTCTCGCCCAACCTTGTGCGCCACGACATCGACGCGCTCGTCGACCAGATCAGCTACGACCCCAACCACGACGACAAGGTCCGCGTTTCCGTCCCACCCTGCGTCTCTCGTGCCGTGCCTGGCCGGGCGTCAGCCATGCATTCTGTGCAAGGCATTCAGGCAGTTGGAGTTTTCTTAAGATTCTGACGTGTGGGTGCGTGCGTGCGTGCAGGTGGCGGACGATCCTCCAGTGGGTTACACCATTCACCCCATCCCTGTCTGCTGGGTTCGCCATAAGGCAAGTGCACCACCTTCAACCACACGTTTCTGCTACTACCCCTCATGTTGGGTTCCGTTCGCGCATCGTATCTTGCAGCGCCACCAACCCAGCTGACACATGCATCCGCGCATCCATCCTCCCGTCCCCCTTCCCGCTCTTCCTTCCGCGCGGGGTGGCAGGCGGAGCTGCTGGGGATAAACATAACGCACCACTCGGGCGAGGCGGGGTTTGCAAAGCTGTTTCTGCCGGAGATCCTGTGGAACGTGCGGCGCGCCATCTACCTGGACGTGGACATGGTGGCGGCGGAGGACCTGGGCGCGCTGTGGGGGTACTTCAAAGAGATGGACGCCGACCCCGACCTGCTGCTCTTCATGGGCGACAACCACCCCACCGCCTACGGCCCGCGCTCCCGCTACCCCTTCTGCTCCTGCCAGCTCATCATGGACCTCGACCGCCTCCGCCGCCACAACCTCACCCGCGTATGCCCGCCCGCCCCTGCACTCCCCCACCCGCCCCTGCTCTCAACTGCCCACCCCTGCACTCGTCCACCTACAGTGGCTGTGCTCACAGCCTCTAGGCTCTATGCTGTTGGCATTCAGGCGTGGGTTGGGTCCAAGCCGTGGTTCCCCCCTGCGTGCTCCCCCGTGTGTGTGTCTGTGCGTGCCTGTGTGCGTGGCATGGCAGCTGGTGATGGAGGCGTTTGGCGAGCAGAAGGCGATGGAGGTGTGGGGATTTCGGCCGGGCGACCAGTGGGTGTTCACCATGATGTGCATGAACAACCCCGACAAGTGCCGCACGCTGCCCAAGATCTGGAACGTCTCCGGCTGCTCCAAGCCCCGCTTCCTCGGCCTCAACGCACGTGACAAGGACCAGGTGCGACAAGGACCAGGTGCGACAAGGACCAGATGCGACAAGGACAAGGTGCGACAAGGACAAGGTGCTGTTGGGCTGCATGCGACAAGGACCAGGTGAAATTGGGCTGCATGCATGCCACAAGGACCAGGTGCTGCTGGGCTGCTGGGTTGCTGGGTTGCTACCGCTGCTTCTGTGGTGGTGCTGTGCCGATGTGTGTTGCATTGGGATAGCGGCGTCATGATGCTTCTTTCGGCGCGTGCTCTTCTTGGTCTCTGACCCAATGCCAGGCTCCAAAACATATACCTCACATGTCTTCCCCCCCCCTTGTGTGGTGTGCATGGCATGGGTGGTGAGGCAGAACGGGACGTGTTGGCGCATGGCGCATTTCAACTGCATAGGAGTGAGGGACAATCGGTACTACGCGCTGGCCAACACGGACTGGGAGGACATGCGCCAGGTCGTGCACGACACCTCCTGGGCCTCCCTCAACCGCTCGCCGCACAGCTCCGCCGTGCAATGACGCCCCCTCCCCTCGCCCTCATCAACACTTGCCATCGCTGAGAAACTCGCGGAATATTATTTGTGATCACGAGGAAATGTGTCACATCTCTTCAGGGCCCCTAAGTCTGGCATTTTGTTGTGCTCTTATCCTTTCTTATTTAGCCATTTTCTGTCTAATAATCTGGCTTCGCTGAACAATGTAGCGAGCAAAATCCAAAATCAAAACCGGACCAACTTTTATTTGGAGGATGACGGAACAATGCAGGCAACACACCAGCCTATCAAAGGCGCCAATTGCACAGTCTGAATGACCCCGCCTCCAATTTTTGCGCGACCTATCCACGTGACAAATAGGGACTTGACACGGGGCGCGGCGTTCCCCCTTTTGCCAGCGCGTTGTGACCGCGGGCAGCGATCGGTGCGCATCCGCCCATCCCAGGAAGCGTAGGGCGGCGGCAGGGATGGCGGCAGTGCCCGCCTCGGCGCCGGCGCTGGCCGGCCGTCGCGCTGCTCACCCAACGCCATCGGCGTTCGGCCCGCTCAGCAGCGGCGCGGCATGGCTGGATGGAAGCGGCCGTCTCGCCACGTGGAGGCAGCAGGTGCCTTCAATGCGGCGGAGGGGAAGGAAGGGTGCGTGCACGCTGACGCGCTAAGAGCCGCCGCAACTGTCCGCCCACCGCGTGCGCTCTCCGACCATTGACCATTCGCTGCACACTAGCCCGCCTGCCACTGACCCTCTCTCCACGCCCTTCCGCATGCCCTTTGCTGCCCTGCCATTGCTGCGCGTGCTCCCCCCGTCCCCCTCCGCGCCCCCCTCCCCCCTCCCTCAGCCCGTGTGAGCGCGCGCGCGTCCACACGCCACCTACCGCCCATCCCGACGGCCTTCCCCCCGCTGCCTGACCCCGCCCTGCCGCCCTACGAACAGGTGCGCGCCCTTGCCTGCGTAACCCATGCCGCATGCCCCTCTGCTCTCCCCCTCGCCCCTCTGCCCTCTGCCCGCCGCCTCTCATACCGTTCAAACCACTGCACCTCTCAGTACCACGTCTCTCACACACACCCACGCTTCTCAATGCACTTGTCTGCCCCGCCCGTCCCCTGCCCGTGCGTGGCACGCGTCTCAGTTGGTGCTGCCCAACGGGCTGCGCGTCTTTCTCCTTGAAGACCACGAGCTGGGGCTGGTGGGCGGCCAGCTGCTCGTCAAGGGCGGGGCGCAGTATGAAGCGCCCGACAAGGTGGGTCCATGCCCTCCCCCATAATTGCGTGCGCCTTCCCCCATGCGTGCGCCTTCCCCCCATGTATGTGCGTTCCCCCCGTGCGTGCGCGTGCGCCTCCCCCCATGCATGTGCCTGGATTGTCATCATTGCTAGGGACGTGTGGATCCGTGCCATGCCTTCCCTGTGGCGCGTGAGTCCATGGCCAAGCACCACTCACCATGCATGCATGCATGCATGCATGTGTGCGTTCCCCCCTGTGTGTGCAGGTGGGAGTGGCGGGCATGATGGCAGCGGTGCAGCGCAGTGGGGGCACGCAGCAGTACCCGGAGGAGCAGCTTGACGACACACTTGAGGTCCGCCCTGCACGCACTGTCCGCCCCTTTGGGTTGGGCCCTCCATGCCATGCGCTCTCCACCTTGCACCTTGCCCGCCTCAACTCTCTCTCTCTCGCACCTTCACTCACCCGATCCCGTTTCAGCCCCTATCCCAGCAGCGCCGCCATCCCGTCAGTTTATCCTTCCCCATCGCTCCTGTGTTCTGCATGTGCCCCTGTGCGTGCCCCCCATGCAGGCCATGGCGGCGTCCATAGAGACATCAGCTGGCACGTCAACGCTCTCAGCGTCCTTCCGCTGCCTGCAAGAGGACGCGCCCACCCTCCTCCCACTGCTCCGCGATGGTTCGCCCTCCCTGCTTCTCCCTACCCCTGCCCGCCCCTGCCTGCCTGTGCTCCATGGAGTTGCATGAAGCCCAGGCCTCTAGGCACTTTCTCCCTGCTGTGTACGCCACCTCCCTCGGAGTCCTCCCCACTCATGCCCTCCAATTCCCTCCTCTCTCCCCCCGACCCCATGCCTCTCCCCCTCCCACCAGTGGTGCTGGCACCGCTGCTACCGGCGTCCAAGCTGGCGTTCTCGCGCACGCAGCTGCTGGGCTCCATCGCCCGCCGCAACGACGATGTCCGTCCATGCTTGCATGCCCTCCCCCATCACGCCCCCACCCCCACCCGTCCCCTCGTCCCCACCTGCTCAATGCACCCCTCTCATATGCCCATGCCCATGCCCATGGCCATGCATGCATGTTCAAACGTGGATGTGCACTGTGTTCATTTCACCAGCCAAGAGTATTGCAGCACACCCTACCTCCTACCCTACCTTCCATCCATTTCTCCAATCCCTCCTTCCGACCCTCCTACCCATCCCCCACCCCAGCCAGGGAGGGTGGCATCAAGGGAGCTGCAGCGCCTGCTATACAGCCCTGCCTCCCCACGCGGCCGCTACCCCCTCGCTGCTGACGTCGCCCGCATCTCCCTCTCCGACCTGCGCGCCTTCCACGCAGCTTCCTACAGCGACCCATCACAGGCGGTGTTGGGAGTGTGGGGCGACTTTGACGCGCGGAGCATGCGCGCGCTGCTGGAAGACACCTTCCTCGCCTGGCCCGCTGCCTCTGCCTCCCCTGCACGGCGCACTGCCAAGGGGCGGCTGGTGCCGTACTGGGGTCCGGAGGAGGGTGTGGCGGCCAGTGCAGCGGGCGTGTACGTGGTGGACCGACCCGGGCTCACCCAGAGGTGCGTGTGGGGCAGGGGCGCGCGCCGCGCAGTGCAGGGAAGGGGCACGCAGGGCAGAGAGAGGCAGAGGTGTGGATGTGAGTGCCGACTCGCAGCTCACCCCATGGCAATGCTTACCACTGACCTCATGTCTTGCTTGCACTCCTTGCGCTGCCTCTCCTCGCCCCCACACCAGCATAGTGCGCGTGGGCGAGTTGGGCATGAGCATGAGTGACCCGGACGTGTTTGCACTGGACGTGCTCAACGCCATCCTCAACGGCTTTGGTGGCCGCCTCTTCGACCAGGTCACCTCCCAAACCCACACACCCTCTCTACTTGCTCCACCTCCCTCGCTCCCCTTCCCTTGCTCCCCATCCCTTCACTCCTTCTTCCCTCGTACTTCTCCTTTCGCTACCTTTTCACCTTCCCTTCTGTATAATTTTCACCCGACTAGACTCTCTTTGCTGCACTCATGCCCTGCTCGCCTCCCCTCGCCCTGCAGGTGCGGTCAAGGGAGGGTCTGGCATACTCGGTGTCCGGGTCCTGGTCGCCAGGCGTCGACCACCGGGTGGGTGCCACTGCTGCTGCTGCTGCTGCTGCTGCTGCTGCTGCTGCTGCTGCTGCTGCTGCTGCTGCTGCTGCTGCTGCTGCTGCTGCTGTCCGCCTGCTCTCTCTGCTCTGCCTCCCACCTGCTCTGCTTGCGTCACGCTCATCTTCCAGCGCATGATTGTGTGTGCTTCGCTCGCTCACCATAAGTTGTGCCTGTGTGTGCTCTGTGTGCCATGTGTGTTCTGTGCATGCAGGGGGCGTTTGTGGGAGGGGGGGAGACGAGGGCGGAGGCGGTGGGGCAGTTCATCACAGCAGTGCAGCGCGTGCTGGGGGAGGCCACGCTGCTGCCGCCCTCAACAGGTGAACCCGCCCCCTGCCATTGCCTGCTCGCCCCTCCCTTGCACACACTTCTGCACTTGCTGCGTGCTGCAATGTGCTCTTTCAATGTCACCAGACGTGCACATCGGTGCCCCTGTGCTGTGCTGTGCTGTGGTGTGGTATGGAGTGGTGTGCAGGCGAGCTGCAGGAGGCCAAGGACCGAGTGCTCAACTCCTTTGTCTTCAACTTCGCTGACAGGTAGGTGCCTCACCATGCACGCTCTCTCATCTGCTGCTCCTGCTTACACCCATACTCTGTGTCTTGCACCACAAAGCTACCCCAAGGGTGATGTCCCATTCCTGATTCAACCCAAGTCTCACACGCCTTTCCTCCGCATGTGCACGTGCATGTGTGCCCACTGGCAGTGGAGCGCAGCTGAGTCGCATAATGACGTACGAGCTGTTTGGAATCGACCAGGACTTCATCTTTGAGTTCAAGCGCCGTGTGGAAGCACTCTCACCCGACGCCGTGCTGGCAGCGGCGCAGCGCCGCCTGCACCCAGGGGAGCAGCCCATCGTGGTGGTGGCGGACGCTGCTGCCGTCATGCCGCAGCTCTCCGCCCTCGGCCTCCCCGTCACCCGCATTGACCCCGTCTAGATTCCGCGCTCTGGCTGTATTCTTACAGTGCGTTACTAAGAGCGTGTTCCTACACCTCGTATCAGAAACACCTCGTATCAGCTTCGCTGGGTGAAATACGTTTCAGTGTGTTCGACTCGACTGCGGTTCAATGCGTTTCAGTGCGGTTCGACGCGAATCTGATATGAGGTTGCCTGAAACGAGGCCGTAGGAACACGCTCTAATGCACGCACTTTAGAGCCTTCACGACAACGCAATGCAATGATAAGCGCCAATCAATGAGGCAAAGGTCTTGCTTGATACACTACCCTACGCCAGGCACCACTATGGTAACTATGACTAAAAGAGTCTTGAGTGTGGAGTGAAGCAAAGGTCTTGCTTTATACACTACCCTACGCCAGGCACCACCACTCTCCGCCCTCGGCCTCCCCATCACCCACATTGACCCCGTCTAGCCCCCTTGCTCTGGCTGTATTCGTACCATGGGTTAATAATGCATGCACTTTAGAGCCTTCACAACTAAATGCAATGATAAGAAAAAGCCAATGAGACAAAGGCCTAGCCTCATCCACTACCTAGGCCAGGCACCACTATGGTAACTACGACTAAAAAGGAGACCGGAGTGTGGTGTGGAGCATGGCGCAGCTAGGAGGCGGAGCCGCCTCTCAAGGCGAGCACGAGGTGCAGCACGGATCCGCCCTCTATGTTGTAGTCCTTGGCCGTCTTCTCATCGTTCATCTGCTTCCCCGCGAAGATCAACCTGCCATGCCATGCCACGCAGTGGGGTGGGATGGGTGGAATGGGAAAGCACAGGCACCCACTTGTGAAAATGTGGGTTCAGGCAATGCACCAATACATACACACCGCACGAGCAGCACACATGCACCCACGAGCAACATTCCCTTCCCTTCTCACCGTTGCTGCACGGGCGGGATGCCCTCCTTCTCCTCCACGCGCTCCTTGATGCGCTCGATGGTGTCGGTGGGCTCGATGTCGATCTCGATCTCCTTGCCCGTCAGCGTCTTCACCTTGATCATCATGCCGCCGCGCAGCCGCAGCACCAGGTGCAGCGTCGACTCCTTCTGAATGTTGTAGTCCGCCAGGGTCCGCCCGTCCTCCAGCTGCTTCCCCGCGAAGATCAGCCGCTGCTGGTCCGGCGGAATGCCCTCCTTGTCCTGCGCGCACCATCGCACGCACCGCCTCAGAACACGCGTCGCAACCAGCATAGCACCCTAGCTACTAGTACGGCGCGGCGGCGAGGGAGCGAGGGCGCGAGGGAGCGCGGGGGAGCGAGGGCGTGGGGGAGCGAGGGCGTGGGGGAGCGAGGGCGTGGGGGAGCGAGGGCGTGGGGGAGCGAGGGCGTGAGGGACGAGGGCGCGAGGGAGCGCGGGGGAGCGAGGGCACGGGGGAGCGAGGGCGCGAGGGAGCGACGGAGGGGGGCGCAGGGGCGCTTGCCTGGATCTTGGCCTTGACATTGTCGATGGTGTCGCTGCTCTCCACCTCGAGCGTGATGGTCTTCCCCGTCAGCGTCTTCACGAAGATCTGCATGCTGCCGCCCGGTCCCGCTGCGAGCCGATTCACGAGACTCGCGAGATGAGAGCGTCGAGGATGTTCCGTAAGACGAGGCGACGGCGGGGAGCTTTCAGAAGGAAAATAGAATGCCAACCCGAGAGGCGGAAAAGGTGCCTCTGCACAAGGAGTTTTTGTCTTGAGAGTGAGCCAAACTGGTTTACAACCTCTTTCTTGACACTTGTACTGTACCATTTGATCTGGTGAAAGTTAGATTGCATAGATTTGTTGTGCTGTTGCAAGGGGGCTCCTGAATTATTTTTTCCCTTTTTCTTTAGACAATAATGACAACGGTAGCTAACAATGCCATCTTATTCACTAGAGTGGGTGTTACTCTGAGGTGCGCACGATCATGGCATCTCTGCCAGGCCCCACACCAATGAAGCGCACGGGCACGTCCAGGAGCTCCTCTATGCGCCGCACATACTCCTGTGCGTTGGCTGGCAGCTCCTCAAACGTGCGCACGCCTGTGATGTCCTCTTGCCACCCCGGCACCGTCTCATACTCCACCTGCACGCACACAGCAATGTCATCACACAGCCCAGCATTGAGGCCACCCATGCAACAATGAGGCGAGGAACAACAGAAACAATAAAATAACACACAAGCATTGATTGTGCGGGGTGTTTGCAGCACATGGCATGCGGCACGCACCTGTACTTGCCCCAGCAGCTCCAGGTCGGCGGGGAAGGCGGGCAGCAGTGACCCATCAGGGGCACGGTACCCCACGCCCAGCTGCAGCTCTGGCAGGCCTGACAGCACGTCCAGCTTGGTGAGGTTGAGAGCGGTGAAGCCGTTCACCTGGCACGCGTACCGCAGTGCCACCATGTCCAGCCACCCGCAGCGCCGTGGGCGGCCCGTGGTAGTGCCAAACTCGTGGCCCGCCTTGCGCAGCTGCTCGCCCAGCTCCCCAAACAGCTCCGTTGGGTACGGCCCCTCTCCCACCCGCGTCGTGTACGCCTTCGCCTGGAGCAGAGGGGCCGGGGGGGATAAAATGGTGGGGGGGTGAGATGCAGGGGAGGTGAGATGGAGGAGAGGTGAGATTGAGAGGGGTTGAGACGGTGAGGTAAGATGAAGCGGGCGGGGTTTGAGATGGGGAGGAGTTGGGGAGTGAGGGTGAGGTGAGATGGGTGAGGTGAGATGGGTGAGGCTATGTGATTTCAAAAGAACACGGCTGCAGCAGCAGAGATGTCAAGCGGCTGAAAGTGGACATTCGGGCATGTGTATGTGGGCGACGGGCATGTGGGCATATGTGAATGTGAGCATGCGGGAATGGGCGTGTGTGCATGAACACATGTGAGCAGTTAGGCAGGAGGGACGCACAACGCCAATGATGTCCCCAAGGGCGCGGGGGGGGATGCCAAGGCCGGTGCAGATGCCGCCAACAGAGGGGTTGGACGAGGTCACGAAGGGGTACGTGCCGAAGTCCACGTCCAGCATCGTCGCCTGCCCGCCCTCCACCAGCACCCGCCGCCCGCCGCGCACCGCCTCGCCCACAAAGTGAACAGTGTCCGTGATGAACGGCTCCAGCCGGGCGGAAAACTCCCTGTAGCGTTCCACCTCAGCATCAAGGTCGGCTTGGGTGTACTGGAAGGCGGGGAAGCGCTGGCTTGCGTCGCGGTACAGCGTCTCTAGCTTGGCGCGGAAGGTGTCCATGTGGCGCAGGTCGCACACCCTCACCCCGTTGCGGATGGCCTGGTGGGGGGGGAGAGGAGGGAGATGGAGGCATGCAGACAGGGAGGAGCACGTGGAGCAGTGGCGTTAATGATGTGGCAAGGAGGAGAGCAACACTGCACATGGCATCCCAGCCCAGCCACCCACTCTCGGCCACACCCACGCCAGCCCGCACGCATGGTCAGCAGCACCAACGCCCCTTGCACTCTCCCCCACCTTGCCATAACTCATACCAACACCACTTCCGCTCCCCCTCCCCATGCGCTCACAACCTCCCGTCTCCCTCTCCTTCAGACACTCTCCGCTCCCCCACACACATTCCCCTGCCCCTCACACACCACCCCTCTCGCTCCCACACCCTCCCCCCTCACACATCCTTTCCCCACATACACCACTAGCCCCGAGCACAAACCCCTCCCGCCCCTCCCCACTCCCCACACCAAAGGCGCGCGCACCTTACTGGCGTAGCACGGCCCGATGCCGCGCTTCGTGGTGCCGATCTTGTCGCCCGCCAGCTCCGCCTCGCGGAGCGCGTCCACCGTTTGGTGCAGGTCGAAGAGCAGGTGCGCGCGGTCGCTCACGAGGATGCGCCTGTCCACTGTGACGCCGTTGGCCTCGAGCCCGTCCAGCTCCTTGAAGAACCCCGGCAGGTGGATCACCGGCCCGTTGCCCACCACGCACGTCGCGTTCGGGTGCAGAATGCCCGACGGCACCAGGTGCAGCGCGAATCGCCGCCCCGTGCTGTCGTATATCGTGTGCCCCGCGTTCGCGCCGCCCTGCACCACGACGCGCGGAGGGTGGGGAGCGGGGTGGTGCATTGACGTCCAAAACCGGTCTTATTTCCGCGAAAATGAGAGAGAGGTGAATTCCTTGTTTATTCTGCCATTTATGAAAAGACTGGGTTGATAATTAACCAAATTACTGGGGTAGGCGTTGGCGGTGGGGACAAACGCAGGTGCTTTGGACACGGGCTGATGATGAGGTCGCTCGTCAAATTGACATATTTTTAACCTTAACTTTCAAATTGAGGCCCCAATTGCCATGTGGATGTCTCATCCTCGGCCTCTGCCCGATGGCGTCGCACTAACCGCCTCATTGTGCGCCTAACGTGATCCACCAAGGTGCGCGGCTCTCGTCCGCGGAACCCACGACCATCACTGGCGCGCCCAAATTGTGACCAACGTTATCTCTCCCTCCTCCGCCAATTCCCTGCGATCGCCCCCCGCATCCCCCGCTCTCGCCCTCGCCTCTGCGGGCCGCCGCACGGCGTCTCACCTGGCAGCGCGCGACGACGTCGTATCGCTGCGCGAGGATGTCGACGAGCTTGCCCTTGCCCTCGTCGCCCCACTGCGTGCCCAGCACCGCGCACACCTTCGACAGCTTCGCCCACTCCGCCTCCGCCGCCGCCGCCGCCGCCGCATTAGGCGCCGACGCTGCCACGGACGCTGTGACAGCCGATCGCCGCCTCGACGCAGCAATTTGACGGCAGCTACTCAACCGGCATTTGCCGGTGACGGCGGCGGGCGATTGCGTGAAGGACGATCTGAGAGTTACTTGCGGCGCAGGAGCCGCTGGCGACGCGGAGCCGCTGGCTTGTGGCACGGCGGCATGGCGCGCCGAAGAGACGGTGCCGCGCAATGCGGGGGAAGGGGCAGACACCGCGGCAGCCATAGTTGACGCGGACAACGGGACGGAGGGTAAGGGGGAATGGTCTCAGTCAGCTAAGTTCGCGAGGAATGGGCTGGGGACGAGATTTATCCTTATGGCGCGCGCAAGCGGGTTGCGCGGGGCAGGGGCAGGGATTGCTGCTTGCGTTGGACGGCGAGGGGAGGGAGACGAAGGGGGTGAGGGCAACGAAACGACGACAGGTGGTCAGGGAGGGGGCGAACGAAGGTGGGGTATGGCAAATGACAGTCAAGAGGTGATCGCTGACGGGGCAGCTTTGCCACGAATGCTGGAGAGGTGCGGTGCTGCTCCAATCACACACTCGAGCAGCTCTCTGGTCAGCAGCAGCCAGTCCATTATGCGGAAATAGTTTTTCCACTCAAAGCATTCATCCAATAATAGTACAACAAAAAAATTGAAATTACATGTCAGGCTATTAACTGGCTCTGAAATGAAAGGATAGTGATTTTTTCATGGTAGATGCAGAATTTTTATATCCAACAAAAACATTGGTAAGGTGCTACGATTTTGCATTTTATTGTTCTTTTATGCAATTAGATTAAGCAAACAAGGTGGCATGTTACAACTATAGCTGGATATGAGGAAGACTACTCTGATAGCGGTATGCCACTTCTGATTTTGCCATATTCAATTGCATTAGGTAGATCAATGATTAAACGTTCACGAATCTCCTCCTACTTGACTCTTGTCTCCGTCCTTCATTTTCCTCTATACCATGACCTCGTCCTTTCTTGATATATGTAATGTAAGTTGATGACAGATGTTTGCCCCATCGGATATGTTCAAGCTCATCATCCTCTGGTTGGCTTTGGACTGCGTCGTTTTTCTATACAATACTAAAGCGGCTCTTTGAGGGGTACAACGCGTTGCTGCAGTGTTCACACAGGGAACAGTCGCAGGGTTTGGTGCGAGCCTGTGCGCTGTCACTGATTGGACGGCGGGCATGATATTCCAGGACTGGCGACGGACAGCCATGTGACTGCCATGACAACTCCAAGGCTAATCCCTTCCACCCCCCAGCAGTAAAGCCGTCCATTGCATCTTAGATGCTTAGTAGCTCTGGTCTTTCAGCCTTAGCGGCCAGGAATCCGAATCTGGTTCACTTCAGGTCACGTGTGCAGCTCTCAGAACCCTTCTTATGTCGACGACTTCGTTGAATTCACCGGCTAGGTCGCTCGCATCTACCCCTCCTGTACATTGGTTCCCAGGCACTTACCATCCGCGCCGTACGTGTACACGGGAGTCGTGAGGGTGAGGCGTTGGTTCCGGTCCGAATCATCGCCTAGCCGTCGTCGCTTGCCGGCTTGCGTGGACCGAAGCTTCGTGGTGGATGTTAAGAAAGAACGCCAATGGCCAGCAGTGCAGTGGGTGTTGCTGCTGCTTCCAGATGAGCAGGATCGAGGCGTGACGGTATCCGGGGATTCCGCCGTCAGCGCGTGACGGGACTGCTTCCGCTGTCGCCATGGCATCGTCGCGGCTGCCTCCTCACGCGCCGCTGCTGTCGCGAGGCGCGCTGCTGGAGTCGCGGTTCGAAGTGGAGAAGAAGATCGGCGAAGGCACCTTCAGTATCCCCGCACTCCTTCAAACCCCTTTCTTTCCCTTTCCGCTCCTTGCTTACCTCTTTTCTTGCATTCACGCGTCCCCCTTGTCCCCCTTTTCCACCCCCAAGCCCCTAAATCGATCGTGCATTGATTTCGCAAGTCGTTTCTTTTACGCGTCGCCCATCTTAAACGCTTTCACTATTTCGCCACCTCATCATTAGTCCCGCGCTACTCGCACACTCCTCGTCCACTCCTCGTCACTTGTCTACACCCTTTTAAACGCTTGCACTGCCCGTCCGCGCGCCACTGCTCGCAATCGAATCTGTGCAGGCGAGATCTATCGTGCGCGCGACACGGTGACGGAGCGCCACGTGGCGCTGAAGGTGGAGAAGGAGGAGTCGGTGCTCAAGTGGGAGGTCTGGGTGCTCAAGCGCCTGCAAGGTACCGCCTCCCCCCAATGCCCCTGCGCCTGCAAGGTACCGCCTCCCCCCAATGCCCCTGCGCCTGCAAGGTACCGCCTCGCCTCCCCCCAATGCCCCTGCGCCTGCAAGGGACCGCCTCGCCTCCCCCCAATGCCCCTGCGCCTGCAAGGTACCGCCTCCCCCCAATGCCCCTGCGCCTGCAAGGTACCGTCTCCCCTCTTTCCAATGCCCCTGCACCTGCACCTGCACGCCTTCCTCGCATCTGTTTTCCAATCAAATCCTCCACCCTCGCTCCCCCTCCTCCCTCACCTCTTCTTGTATCCCTCCCCCCTCCCCAACCATCCTGCGCATGACCCGCCGCACTCGCCTCCCTCCCCCTCGCATACGACCTCCCCCCTGCCCGTTTCCCCCAGGGTGCGGGGCGGTGTGCGAGTTCGTGCACGCGGGGCAGGCGGGGGGGCGCGTGTACGTGGCGATGGAGCTGCTGGGGCCCAGCCTCTCCGACCTGCGCCGCTCCCACCCCCACGGCCGCTTCCCCGTCGCCACCCTCGTTCCCCTCGCCCTGCAGGTCAGTCGCTGCCTCTCGCCCTGCAGGTCAGTCGCTGCCCCTCGCCCTGCACGTCAGTCAGTGCGTGTGGGGCTAGGGGGGCGTGTGGGGTGCTTGGCAGCAGCAGTGTGGGCGCGCGTGGGAGTGGCAAGGGAGGATGACGGCCGAGTGAGGGAGGGTTGCATGGTGCATTGAGCTGTTTATGACCCCAGGGCCCCGTCCCACTGCTGCTTCTCCCCCTCCTGCGCATCACCAAAACCTGGCCCCACCTTCCCACTGCCTCTCCCCTTCCGTGTGTGTGCTGCGCACTGGCCGAGCAGATGCTGAGGGCGTTGAGGACGATGCACGACCATGGCTTCCTGCACCGCGATGTCAAGCCTGTCAGTGCCCGTTCCTGCCTTCCTCTCCCTCGCCTCCATCGCCTTGCCATGTCACAATGGCCCTTTCCCATCTGAATCGCCTCCTCCCCTCCATGCGCCATTCCCTGCAACCAAGCCTCCCCAACGCACCAATCCCCGTCCTTAACGCCCCCCTCCATGTACACCCCTACCCCGTGCCCACTGACCCCCCATGGTGCATGCGAGCAGTCCAACTTCGCGATGGGCGTGGGGCCACGGCAGCAGCAGTGCTTCGTGATTGACTTTGGCATCAGCAAGCGCTTCCGCTCCTCCCATGGCGTGCACCCCGCACGCCAGCTCGCCGAGTTCCGTGGCTCCACCGCTTACGCGTCCGTGCACTCGCACCTGCTCATGGTATGCCCCCGTGCACTGCACTCCCCCACGCATGTTCTCTCTCTGTGTGCATGCCGTACTGAACTGCTCGTCACCTGCTCTACTCCACCTCCCCCATCAATCAGCATCTCCGCCCTGCGTCCTGCTCTCTCCCGTGTATGCTGCGCCTCATGCCGTGTGTGTGTGGGTGGCAGGACCTGGGGCGGAGGGACGACCTGTGGTCGCTCTTCTACGTGCTCGTGGAGTTCCTCGATGGCGAGCTGCCCTGGCGCCACGTGCAGGAGAAGGTGACAAGTGTGCTCGTGGCAAGAGAGGGCATGTTTTTCACTGCTGCATTGGGCTCATCACCTCATGCACGTCACTGCCATGCCTGGACCTCACCCACTGTGTCCCTCGCCCTGCTGTGTGTGCAATGATGCACATACACGTGGTGGGAGGGACGGCGTGTGCGTGTGTGCGTGCATGTGTGCATGTGTGTATCCGTGCGCGCGTGTGGACGTGGTGTGTGTGTGTGTGTGTGTGTGTGGTGTGTGTGTGTGTGTGCGTGTGTGTGTGTGTGTGTGTGTGTGTGTGTGTGTGTGTGTGTGCACACCAACAGGAGAGGGTGAAGGAGATGAAGCTGTATTTCTTTGACCACCCGGAGCAGATGACCAAGTCCGTTGCCTTCCCCGAAGAGCTCTCTGTGAGACCGCCGCCCCTTCATCCACTGCCACCCCTTGCCACAGCACCACACTCCCTTCCACTGCTCCCACTGTGCCTTTCTAGACGGCCATAACGCACCTCCTCATCCTAGCCTGTCCGCCAACTGCTCTTGTATGCACCTCCTCATCCTAGCCTGTCCGCCAACTGCTCTTGTATCCTCGCACCTCCTCATCCTAGCCTGTCCGCCAACTGCTCTTGTATGCACCCCCTCTCTCTCTCTCCCCCCCCTTCTCTCCCCTCTTCCCCAGGCGTTCGCGGATCATCTACAGGTGCTGCAGTATGCGGACAAGCCAGACTACGCCTACCTACTCAACCTCCTCACTGCCTGGAACACCCGCTGTGGGGGCGCCTCCCCTCCCCAGGTCAGCAATCGGCACCCTTCCTCTCCATTATCAGATGAGCACCATTTTTGTGTTCTGGTTGATGCTTGAGATTGTGCGCGCACTCACACCGCCTGGCTTGTGTGGTGTGGCAGGATGGTCAAGGTGCTGCCGATGCTCCACATGCTGTGCTGCCACCGCCTCCCTCACTCCCTGCCACGGCCAACGGCCACTCTCACGCAGCCTCAGTGCGTCATGCCTCTCGCGATTCGCCCCCCATGCCGCACACTGCCGCAAGCACACCTTGTGCTGTAGCTGCCCTTGGCAATGGGGTGCATGCCACGCCCCTCACCTCACCTGCCGTGGCGTCCGTACTGCCCTGCGCGCCACCACCCGCCATCGCTGCGGTCAGTGGGACACCCGTGCTGCCTGCACCCCCACTTAATCTGGAAGGGACAGCAGCAGAGGTGGCAGCAGCAGGCGCAGGAGCAGTTGCCGCTGCACCCATGGCCTGTAGCCCATCCATGCCTGCACCACCCTCTGCCCCTCCCCCCCCTGCCGCTGCCCTCACTGCATCAACGCCTCCCACCCCTACTGCTCCCAGCGCTACCCCATCCAGCCCTACGGCTCCCACCCCGACCTCTTCAAGCCCCACCGCGCACAGCACTGGCGTCCCAATGGAGGACAGCAGTATTGCCCAGCCTGCTGCTCTTGCCACTGCTTCCCCTGCCCCTCCTGCCCCTCCTGCACCTCCTGAGATTGTGCGTGCTGCATCTTCTGCCCCTCCGCTGCTGCTGGAACCGGGCACGGCCCCTGTGGGGAGCAGCGCAGGTGGGGGTGGCGTGGCAAGCGCTGGTGTGGGGCCAGCAGGGAAGGCGTGGCAGGGCGAGCGGGGCGAGCGTAAAACGCGCGGCACAGAGGTTGACAGGCAGGGCAGTGCAGGGGGGCGGATCGGTGAAGGGGTGCATGCAACTACGGGGCAGGGCGCGTGTGAGGGCGGCAGTGAGGGGGGCAGTGGCGACAGCAGCAGCACGACGTCCAGCGTGAGCCACAGCGACAGCAGGGGCAGCAGCTCCATTAGCAGTAGTGGTGACAGCAGTAGCAGTGAAGGCGAGGGTAGGAGGAAGCAGCGAGGGGCGAGGGCAGGGGTACGCACGGGGACGGTGAGGAGGCGAGAGGGGCAGGGATATGTGGCAGGAGGAGGGCGGGGGCGAGGGAGGAGCATGAGCACACGACATACATCGCGGGAGGGCGACTGCAGGGACAATGATAGGTGTGACGTGCAACAGGGGGGGCGAATGAGCGAGGGCTGTTGCGGTGCAGAGAGACGGCAGGGGGATGAGGGAGGTGGAAAGGCGGGACTGGCGAGCGGTGGGGAGGCCAGCGAGCGCGTGAGTGAGAGAGGCACTGCTGCTGCGGCTGTGGCTGCTGTTGCTCGTGAGGGTTCACGTGGCAGGCATGTGGCAGGGGGGTGCAGGGGCGCACAGGGGAATGGGCATGCGCCTTTAACCCGCCGTGCGCCTTGCAGCAGCAGCAGCAGCAGTAGCAGTAGCAGCAGCAGTGATAGCCAGAGCAGTGATAGCAGCAGCACGTGCAGCAGCAGCAGTGGGAGCGATGGGAGCGATGGTGAGGCGAGTGGGGAGGTGAGGAGTGATGCAAGTGGCGCTAGCAGTGGCGAGGATGACAGCTCGTGGGGCAGCCCAGGCAGGCACAGGCAGAGGCACGGGCAGAGGAGGGGCGCAGGTCGGGGCAGTGTAGCGCGAGGGCAGAATACAGGGGGTGGGGGCGGGGGGCGGAGGAGCAGAGGCATGAGGAGAAGAGTAGGAGGAAGGGGGGCAGGTGGCAGGGCGGTAGGGCGCGATGGGGGCGGTGAGGGGCCGCACGGGGCGATGCTACCCGTGGTGCTGGCACTGGCGGCCACACCTGTGCACACTGCACTGCCGCAGGCGGGCTCTGATGTGCTGCCAGAGAGGGCGGGCGAGAGGAGAGGTGGCAAGGGCAGGGACAGGCATGGTGTAGTGTGGGAAGCGCGGGAGGGGAAGGGGAGCATTGGGCCGACGCACTTGGAACGTGATGAACGCGGTGGGAGAGGAGGGGAGGGCAGGCGGGCAGACGATGAGGGGGCTTGTGGGGAGGGACAGTTGGCAGGGGCTGGGAGGCAGGAGTGGAGGGAAGTGAGAGTGAGTGGGAGCGGTGAGGAGGAGGGCAGCAGGGCATGGAGGGCGAGGAGCGGGGCTGTGGATGTGAAAACAAGAGGGCGAGAGGAGCGGCACACTCAAGGATATGGGGCGAGCAGTGGTGGCAGGGCGACGGGGGACAGGGGCGGAGAGGAGGGCGGGGCGCAACAGGAGAGGGGGGAGGAGGGCAGGCAGAGGCGGAAAGAGGGCAAAGAGGAGTGGAGCAGAGGTGGTGGGAAATGCGTGGTGGGGTCAAGGCAAAGAAGGGAGAGAGGGTTGGGAGGGGAGCGGGATAGAGATGGTGACTGGGCTGATAGGGAGCAGCGGTGGCATAGGGAAAGGGAGAGGAAGGGAAGGTGGAAAAGGGAGGAGAGAGAGAGGGACACAAGTGGCAAAGGTGGGGAATGGGGAGGAGAGAAGGACGGCAGTCACTCTGAGAAGGAGCGTCCGGCTGAGGAGTCGAGGGCGAGAGACGCTAAACCTGAAGCAGACAATGAGAAGGCGACGGTGAGATTCGCTTACACGCCGCACCAAGCAGATGCAGATGCAGGGGCAAGCGAGGCAGGCTCTAGTAAGGTGGAGGTGGAGAAGGGGAAGGGGAAGGAGGAGAAGGAGAAGGGTCAGGAACCAGCCAGGAAGATGGACTGGGAATACGGGAAGAAGGATGAGTGGGAGGAGAGGGAGAAAGAGGTGGAGGAGAAAGGAAGGGATCGGTTGTGTGAATCGGGGAGGGATAAGGACACGAGGACAGAGAAGGGAAGAGAGGGCGAGAGCGAGCGAGAGCGAGAAAAGGGTAGAGAAAGAACGAGGGAGAGGGAGAGAGAGAAGGAAAGGGGAAATGAGAGAACGAGGGACAATGAGAGAGCACGGGTGTATGAAAGGGAGGGGGATAGGCGAAGAGGGGAGAGACATCAGGGTTGGGGTAATGAGACCGCGAGGGGGAGGGGCAGCAGTGGTACAGCTGGTTATGAGCGAAGAAACGAGAAGCAGGGAATAGTGGAGAGGCAGAGAGACGCATGGAATGAGAACTCTGGTGGCTTGACCGCAACCAAGGAGAGGCACAGGGGGACGTGGGAGGTTGACGGAAAGGTAGGGAGAAGCGAGAGGGGAAGGAACAGAGATAGGGAAGGAGGCTGGGAGCGTGGTGATGACAGAATGCGGGAGAGGAAGGTGGAGAGGGAGACGAGGGGGAGGGAAAGGGATGAGGAGAGGGAGAAGGATACAAGGAGGAAGTATCCGTTCAAGGAGATCGAGAGAGGTGAGCGGTGGGATGGCAGCAGGTCTAGGGAGAGAGGCTGGTCGAAAGAGAGGGCCAAGGGCAGGCAGGAGCACGCGGAGGCGGCTTGGGCGGAGGGGAGGGGGGAGGGGGAAGAGAGAGCAGACATGAAAAGACAGGGCAGCGGGCGGGATGATGGGACAGCGAGCAAGGGCGAGCGTGTGTTGTCTGCACAGGAACGCGATGAGGCGCCGGGGAGGGGTGGCGATGGTGGCAGTGACGTGGGGGCTAGCCGGGAAGCAGCAGATGGGGCGGTGGAGGGAAGGGACATTCCAGGGGGCAGGGGCGCAGAGGTGGAACGGTGTGGGGAGAGGGGCATGGAGGTGAGAGGAAACGAGAAAATGGGGGTGAGAGAAAAAGGGGAGGATGGTGAGAGGGAAAAGGAGAGGGAAAGAGAGAAGGCGAGGGAGCAGGAGCGGGAGGAGGAGCGGGAGAAGGAGAAGGAAAAGGAGAAGGAGAGGGAGAGGGAGAGGGAGAAAGAAAGGGAACGGGAGAGGGAGAAGGAGAAGGAAAGGGAGAGGGAGAAGGAGAGTAAGAGGGAGAAGGAGTGGGAAAAGGAGGAGGAGAGGGAGACAGGGAGGGGGAGGGAGAGGGAATGGGATAGGGAGAGGGAGCGGGAGAGGGAGCGGGAGAGGGAGCGGGAGAGGGAGCGGGAGAGGGAGCGGGAGAGGGAGCGGGAGAGGGAGCGGGAGTGGAAGAATAAAAGGGAATGGGAGAAGGAAAAGGAGAGGCAGCGGGAGAGGGAGAAGGAGAGGGACTGGACGAGAGAAAAGGAGGGCGAGAGGGAGAGGGAGAAGGGCGGCAATGAGGGTGCTGGCAGCGGCGGTCACAGTGTGCAGGAGCCGCAGCAGCACCCCTGCACTCTCTCTCACTCCTACTCCCACTCCCACACTCACTCCCATTCTCTCCCTCGCCCCCTGAGCTCGCCGCGCCAGCAGCAAGGCAGGCCGTCATCCACCCATCCGCCCTCGCCTGCTGCATCACCCCACTCCATCACTCACCCACTCTCGCCCTCCACTGCCGCTGCATCTGTTAGTGCCGGTGGGGGCGCAGGCGAGGGGGAGGGCAGGGCGAGGAGGCTGCGGCTGTGTGTGGACGCGCTGAGATACGGCGCCTGCAGGCAACCCGCCTCCTGCTCCCGACACCACCCCAAGCGGTGCGCTCCCAATGCCTGCACACCCTCCTTGCTGCCTGCACACCCTCCTTGCTGCCTGCACACCCTCCTCTCGTTCCACGTCACCTCTTCAACTCCTCCCCATTCCCCTCTCCCGCGCCCCGTTTCCCCCTCCCCCTCCAGGCGCACTCATGATCGGGCAACCTCCCTGTGTTTGGACCACGTGGCAGGGCGCTGCCCCCTGCCCTCCGCCCGCTGCTTCCGCCACCACCTCACCCCCGATCAGGTCAGCGCCCCACCACTTGTGCTGCATGGCACACGCACCTGCTCTCATCCCATGGCCCCCGTTGTGCACAAGCATATCTTGTGCCCTCCTTCTCTCTCCACCCCTCCACTTCCCGTCCGCTTCCCCCCCCCCCCTCTCTTCCCTTGTCCACCGCGCCCCGATGAGCGCCGGTCAGGAGGAGCACTTCTACAGGCGGGGCGAGCTGCCAGCAGACGCCATGCAGCCCGCCTCCTGGGTGATTCAGCGCCGCCTCCGCCTCCATCCCGCGCGCCCCCGCCCGCTGCAGCCCCCCCCTGCACGCGCCCCCTCTCCGCGCGAGCCGGTCCGTGCAGATGAGGCGCAGCACACGCCCAGTTCCTCCCACCCCCGCTCTGATAGCCCTCACCACCACCACCAGCAGCAGCAGCACCAGCAGCAGCAGCAGCAGCAGCAGCAGCAGCACCAGCACCAGCAGCAACAGCAACAGGGGGGGTCGCCTGGCAAGGGAGGGGCAGGGCTGCTGGCGACGCCAGGGGGGCTGTTGCCGTCCCCATCCATCTCGCCCTCCCTGCTGGGTGCCCCTCCTGCCGGCACCTCCCCTACCCTACTCCACTCCCTGCTCCCCCTGCCGCCCCCTGCTGCCCCCTCTGCGCTGCCCACCGCCCCCGGCACAGCCGCAGCAACCTGGGGGACTCTGGGTGTGAGCAGACCTGCTTTCAGCAGCAGTCAGCAGCTCGCTGCCACTGCTGCAGAGCAGCATGCTGCTGCTGCTGCTGCTGCTGTGGCAGCAGGGCCAGGGATTGTGGGTGGCGCGTGTGCTTTGTCGCCAGCAGGCATGGGGCCAGAAGGCGGTGAGGAGGGGGGGCGAGGGGTGGGGCTGAGGGGGGAGGACAGGGAGGGCGGGGCACTGAAACCCAAGCCGCGGGTGAAGGTGGTGATCAATGAGTGGGGGGTGGTCATTCCCCCACACGCCTTGCTGCCTGCCATCAAGCGCCGCAAGCTGGACAATGCCCCCGCTGCTGCTCTTCCACCCGCACAGGGTGGTGGCGCCGTGGCGAGTGGCAGGGGAGGGGCGGGAGCGGGTGACACGGCAGAGGGGTCCCCACCTGCCTGTGTAGTGGTAGCCTCAGCAGCGGCGGTAGCAGCAGCAGGCAGGGTGGGGTTGCCAGTGGGCTTGTTTGCAGCACTGGAGAGAATGCTGGTGCCGCGCGTGGCTGTGGGACTGCTTCCCGTGCTCCTGTGCCCCACTGCTGCTGCTCCTCCCAGTCTCACACCCAGTGAGACACACACAGGGACTAACACAGATACAGCTATAGGGAATGACACATTGACACCCAGAGACAGGAGCACAGTTACAGTTGCAGGTCCTAATACGAACACTGACCCCAGTGCCCACACTCTCCCACTGCAGTGGGCTGACGTGCCCTGTGCACCTCTCCCCGCCCACCACCGCACAGCCTGGTTTCTACCCCCTGCCCGCCTCGCCAGCCCCGCTCTCCCCCTGGCCTCCCATGCTGCTGCCACCAGCGCGGGAGCAATCTGTGGTGTGAGCGTGCGCTGTGACATCCCGCCCTCGCTCCTGCCCGCCTCACATGCATGGCAGCTCCTTGCTGAGGCCCAGGGGGGCTCCGTGTCACCTGCTGCACCTCCCCTCACCCTCTCGCCCTCTCCACAACGGGAGCAGCAGGGGGGGCGTGGGGAGAAGGGGGAGCAGCAGGGGGGGCGTGGGGAGAAGGGGGAGCAGCAGGGGGGGCGTGGGGAGAAGGGGGAGCAGCAGGGCGACAAAAAGGACAGCTGGCAGTGGCGCATGCAGCAGGAGGGTGGTGGGCAGTTGGCAGGGCTGATGCGGCAGTGGCGCTGCTCTTACACTGGCGCCCCCCTGCCGCTCTCCTGCACCCCTGCCTGCAGCAGTGGCCGTGGCAGTGGCAGCGGTAGCGGCACTTTGGATGGGGATGGGGTGGTAGGGATGGAGGCAGCAACGGGCAGCAGCAGCAGCAGTGAGAGTGAGAGTGAGAGTGAGAGTGAGAGTGAGGGGAGGGATGGGAGCAGTGAGGGCGCAAGTGGCAGCTGGGACCTGGGTGCTCGCCACTCCGTGGCACAGGCGGGTGGGGAGGACGCAGGCGGGGACGAGGAGGAGGAGGGTGGTGGCGCGGGAGAGAGTGGGATGGAGGAAGGAGAAGAAGGTGCGGTGAGTGTATGTGGGGCGGTGGGGAAACAGAGGCAGGCAGCAAGGCCGGGTGGTGAGGGGCGGGCAGGGAGTGGGCAGGCGAGCACCCCGCGTGTGCGGCAAGAGGGAGAGGCTGTTCCCTCGCTTCACGTGGCCAGGGATGCACATAGGGGGCGGCAGGTGCAAAGTGGTGGAGAGGTGAACGCAGCGGTTGATATGGTGGGGGTGGCCACTGGTGATGGTTCAGGGGGTGGAGGTGATGGTGATATTAGTGGTGATGGTAGTGGTGATGGTAGTGGTGATGGTAGTGGTGATGGTAGTGGTGATGGTGGTGGTGATGGTGGTGGTGATGGTGGTGGTGATGGTGGTGGTGATGGTGGTGGTGATGGTGGTGGTGATGGTGGTGGTGATGGTAGAGTGAAGGGGGTGAAGCCAGAAGGGGAGGAGCAAGAGGGGGTGGGGGATGGAGAAGAGCAACAGGCAGGTGCAGGGAGAGGGGTTCACATTCCCAGTGCTGCTGCTGCTGCTGCTGCTGGTGCTGCTGCTGCTGCCAGTGTTACTGCCACAACCATCACTGTGCGGCTGCCACCTCCCCCCTTGCCCCTGCACGCCCTGGCCCAGCCGCCCTTCCCCTCGCCCAAGAAGGAGCGCACTCAGCGCACCGTGCCCCGCCGCCTCCTCTCCTTCCCCCCTCTCGCCCTGCCCACCTTCCTCGCCCTCCCTGCCCCTCTAGCCGCCGCCACTCCGCGCACCCCGCGCCCCACTGCACCCCCCAGCGCGTTCCACAAGCCCTCTTCCTCGGGCAGGCGGGCAGGCGGCGGCAGTGTGGAGGGCGCGGAGGGCAGGGCGAGTGCGGGCAGTGGGGAGGGAGAGGCGGGTGGTGTGGCAGGGGAGGTGGGAGGGCAGAAGGACGAGGCGGGTGTGAACGATGCAGTAGAGGTGGATGCGGGTGCTGCTGGTGCTCGTGCTTCTGGTGATGGTGCCAGTGCTGGTGCCCGCAATGGGGCTGGGGTTGGCAGCAGTGGTGAGCGGAGGGCGAGGGAGAGGCAGGTGGAGGGAGAGAAGATGGGAGCAGATGTTGGGAATGCCGAGGTGGGGGGAAGAGAGGGCGCACAGGCTGCGGGGCATGAGGGGAAGAGGGAGAGGGGGGAGCAAGAAGAAGGTGACAGAAAGAGACCGCGGAGGGAAAGAGCGGATGGAGAGGTGGGAGTGGGGGAAGGAGGAAAAGGCAGAGCAGGGGGAGAGGAGGAGGGAGAGGAGGAGGGAGAGGAGGCATTTGAGGCGGAGGGGAAGGGTGGAGATGGGAAGAGGGCATTGGAAGGAGATGGGAGGAGGGGAGGGGCGGTGGGAAGAGGCGGAGGGAAGGGCAGAGGACGAAAGAGAGGGGCGGCGAATGGAGGTGCAGGCGAGCGTGATAGGGCGGCGCAGCAGGGGGAGAAGCAGAGGAGCATGCAGCAGCAGCGCGACAGGCGGGGGCGATGGAGGCATGGGGGCAAGCGCGGTGGCCTGAAGGGGGGAGGGGGAAGGAGGGTGGCGGGCAGGGAGGAGGGTGCAGCGAGGGTGAGTGGTGCTGATGGCAAAGGGACGGGGGGAGGGAGGGTGCAAGAGAATGAAGAGCAGAAGCAGGTGAAGGGGGCTGCAAGGGAAGATGGCGCAAGGCACAGCGATGCACGGGTGAGTGAGAGGAAACGAGGTGGCGGCAGGGGAGGGGGCGGGTCGGCACTGTCGCGATGCCGAGAGGGGCAGGTGGGAGCGGTGGGTGCAGATGCTGGGGCGAAGGGCAGCGGTGGTAAGCAGGAGACGGACGGGCTGTGGTCGGGGGGTAGCAGTGAGGTGAAGCACGGTCGAGGGGGGAGAGGTGTGGGGGGTGGGAGTGAGGGCGACGAGGAGAGTGCGAGTGAGAGTGAGAGTGACAGCTTCTCAAGCCTGTTTCGAGAGGAGGAGAGTGAGGAGGAGAGTGGGGGGCAGGGAGGAGGCGAGGACATAGAGGTGGACGGGCCAAACCTGGAGGGGCAGGCGGCAGGAGGGGGTGGAGCAGATAGGAGCACGTCACAGGATGGCAGTGGTGGTGGTGGCAGTGGTGGTGGCGATGAGACAGGCATGGAAGGCTGGCGGCATGGCGGCAGAGGGAGGGGAGGGGGGCATGGAGGCGAGCAGGAGGGAGGGGGAGGGGCGAGCAGGGCGGGGCAGGCAGGCAGTGCGTGTCTGGCCACCAGCAGCCCTGCCTCGGGCTCCACACCCCTGCCACACCTCGCTGCCAGCCCCCACCTGCACTGCACCACGTACGTCACTGCCAGCCCTCACCTGCTCGCCAGCCCATACCTCAACGCCAGCCCACGCTTCACGAGCCCGTACCTACCCTACAGCCCCAGCATGGGCGGCAGCCCTGTTGGCAGCACCACCTTCTCCCCGCGCCCGCTGCTTGAATCGCCGCTGTCTGCGTGTGGCTCGCCCGCTGTGGTGCAGGCGAGCGAGGAGGGCGCGGAGGAGAAGGGTGGGGATCAGCGGCGCGGCGAGGAGAGGGGCAAGCGGCGGGAGAGGACGCGCATGGTGAAGGACCTTGCTGGCGCTGCTGTGGCCGCCCACGCACTTGCACTGGAAGGCGTTGCTGCGCCCGCTGCAGGTGCTGCCTCGGCTGCTGCTTCTGCTGCTGCCGGTGCGCCTTGCCAAGATGCTTCCGACGACCCAAGCAGAGGGTGCTTGCCTCTTGCCCCTCCTGCTGTTGCTGCTGCTGCTGGCAGCAGTGGTGGCACGGTTGGGAGTGGTGACTTGGGAGGTGGAATGCTGGGGAGCGGTGACAAGGGTGGGGGAACAGGTGTGAGTGGTGAGTTGAGTGGTGGTGGTGGTGGTAGTAGTGGGGAATTGAAAGTGGTCAAGAGAGGTGCAGGGAAGAGAGGGCACGAGATGGAGGAGGAAGCAGATGCGGAGGAGGGTGATGGGGAGTGTGCGGATGGCAGGAAGGGGGGATCAGCGGGTGAGCTCTGGGGGTTGAAGCGCCAGCGGTCGAGGAGAGGAGGCAGGCCCGTGCTGGCTGGCAGCGGGGGAGTGGGGGAAGCGAGGGGCGCAGCAGAGGGAGGGGAGGTGAGGGCAGGAGGTGCGATGGAGGGAGTTGTGAGAGGCGTGGAGCAGCCTGTAGGCTCGTGATGGCATGGCAGCCCACAGCACAGGCGGCTCATGGTGCTAGCAGGTTGCTCCTGCATTGGAGCAGCAGTGCTGCCAGGACTGGACTGCACACGGGCCACGCATGCCACCCACACACACGCCACAAATGCCACACACGCCACAAATGCCACACAAGCCACACATGCCACACGCCCACCGCACTTGCCGCCGATGCTGTCTTCTGGGTGCTGCTTTACACGCGAGCTGTTGCTTGTCACACGAGCACCCGCCCACAGCTGTTGCTTGTCACACGAGCCACTGTTACCACACTGTTACCCTGTACTAGGCCCTGTGATTCCAGGGTAAAAAGTCCTGAAATCCTTCTGAGGTTACAGTAAAAACCCTTGCTTGGGCATGACAGGGTAAGGCCTATCAAATAAAAACACATACGCTCAGTTCTTTGTTTTGAGATGTTTCATTGATCATGAGCAAACCTAGAGCTGGCTGCTTGATTATTCGTTCATCTCAGAGCGTGTTCCTACGGCCTCATATCAGGCAACCTCGTATCAGTGAAGCAGCGAACCAGTGAAGCAGTTGAGCAGTGACACAGTGAACCAGTGAAGCAGCGAAGCAGTTAAGCAGTGACGCAGTGAACCAGTGAAGCAGCGAAGCAATTAAGCAGTGAAGCAGTGAAGCAGCAAAGCAATTAAGCAGTGACGCAGTGAACCAGTGATGCAGCGAAGCAGTTAAGCAATGACGCAGTGAACCAGTGATGCAGCGAAGCAGTTAAGCAGTGACGCAGTGAACCAGTGATGCAGCGAAGCAGTTAAGCAGTGACGCAGTGAACCAGTGATGCAGCGAAGCAGTTAAGCAGTGACGCAGTGAACCAGTTGTCCGAATATATTTTATATATCTTGTATAACTTGTTAAAATAGATTTATATTATAATGTAACTGCATGTAACTTAGCTAGTGTAGTATCATTTAGAATTCTATTGTTGGTGGTATACCCCTCTTGGCCACCATCCTTACCACTATATCTTGTATCTCTCTCATAGTGCAACCTTTTCTTTGGCCAAACCTCTCACCACTACCCTACTTCCTATCCTAGCTATGGCTACTAAGATCTAAGCCTATGCTAGCTGTCTGGACATAACTGCATGTAGTTCTAGCTGTAGTGTAGTCCTATAATTGTTGTGTGTGGTGGTGCACCACTTCTTGCATGCTTCTCCTCTATTTGTACTTCCCATTCTATAGTTCAAACCCCTTCTTCCTTGTACATCTCTCTCATGCCTAGGCTAAAACCTAAACTCCTAGTCTTAACTATGCCTACTATTCCAACATGGTATTGGAGCGTCTACGCTCCTGGCCTGTGGGCCCACCTGCTTCCGCTGCTGTCCTGTCTGTCGCGCGCCCCGTGGCGCGCGACGTTTTTTCTTCCCGCCACGCGCTCGGGGCGCATGGCGGTTTTCTGCTCGCCATGCGCTCGGGGCGCGTGGCGGTTTCACACTCCGTCGCGGCACCCCCGGGGACCCGCACGCCGCCCCCCGTCGCCCGTCGCGGCGCCCCCAGGGAATCGCGCGCGGCCCCCCGTCGCCCGTCGCTGCACCCCAGGGGACCCGCGCGCCGTCCTCCGTCGTCTGTCGCAGCGCCCCCAGGGACCCACACACCACCCCCCGTCGCCCGTCGCGGCGCCCCCGAGGACCTGCGCGCTTCCCCTGACGTCCGTCGCGGCGCCCCCAGGGACCCGCGCGCGGCCCCCCGTCGCCCGTCGCGGCGCCCCAGGGGACCCGCGTGCCGTCCCCCCGTCGCCTGTCGCGGCGCCCTCGGGGACCCGCGTGCCGCCCCTTGACCCCGTGCGCCGCGGGGCTGCTTCCCCCCCCCACCCCTCCCCTTTCTCCTTCCTCTCCCTCCTGCGCGTGCGGGTATGGGGGGCGGGTGGCGGGTGTGGGGGTGGCGGGTGTGTGAGCCGTCCCCTGCTCCTCCTCCTCCTCCGTCTCCCACTGCTGCAGCTACCGCTGAGGGGGGTGGATGTGTGGGAGCCGAGGGAGTGGCGCTAGGGGGTGCCGTGGGAGTGGACCTAGGGGTGCATAGGGGGGTGTGTGAAAGAGGGTCTGCGACAGTGGGAGAGGTTGAACGGAGGTAGCCGTTGTGGAGCCAGCAGCGCCAGTAGTCCGGATGCCCTTGCTCCGGTAGCCAGCGAGCCCGTTGCGCCAGTCGCCCGTGGGTCCGTTGCTCCAGCCGCTCGTCGTAGCCAAGGAGCCAGTTACTCCAGTAGTCCGGGGCCCTTGCTCCGGTAGCCCATGTGCCAGTTGCTCCAGTAGCCCGTGTGCCAGCAGCTTCAGCCGCCGCCTCCAATCTCCTCTCCTCTCACAGTCCCTCCTCCTCCTCACTTCGCCTCTTCTTCTGCTCCGCCATGCAGGGTGTACCACTTCAGGGGGTACACATGGGGGGGGTGTAGTGTAGTCCTATAATTGTTGTGTGTGTGGTGGTGCACCACTTCCTGCATGCTTCTCCTCTATTTGTACTTCTCATTCTATAGTTAAAACCCTTTCTTCGTTGCACATCTCTCTCATGCCTAGGCTAAACCCTAAACTCCTAGTCTTAACTATGCCTACTATTCCAACACCAGTGATGCAGCGAAGCAGTTAAGCAGTGACGCAGTGAACCAGTATGCAGCGAAGCAGTTTAGCAGTGACGCAGTGAACCAGTGATGCAGCGAAGCAGTTAAGCAGTGACGCAGTGAACTGTCAGAATGTGATGTTTGTCTAGCCTGCAGTGGGGTACTCTATAGCGAGTACAGCCCAAATTAGGGTTTGCTATATGTACTCAACTGCCTGCTAGTGCAACCCCTCTTTCCTGTTTCTAGTTTTTGCCTATAGTTTCCGATATGCTATCAGAGCGGTTACGCTCCTGGCCTGTGGGCCCACCGTTAGCTTCCGCTGCTATCCTGTCTATCGCGCGCCCCATGGCGCGCGACGTTTTTTCATTCCCGCCACGCGCTCGGGCGCGTGGCGGTTTTCTGCCCGTCGCGCGCTCGGGGCGCGCGGCGGTTTTCTGCCCGCCGTGCGCCCCGAGGCGCGCGGCGGTTTACTGGCTCGTGCGTCACCCCGGGGACCCGCGCTTCCCCCCCGTCAACCGTCGCTCGCCCCCGGGGACCCGCGCGTTCCCCCCCGTCGACCGTCGCGTCGCCCCCGGGGACCCGCGCTTTCCCCCCCGTCGACCGTCGCGACGCCCTGGGGAGCCGCGCGCGGCCCCCCGCTGCCCCGTCGCGGCGCCCTGGGGAGCCGCGCGCGGCCCCCCGCTGCCCCGTCGCGGCGCCCTGGGGAGCCGCACGCTGTCCCCGAACTGCTGCCCGCGCACCGCCCCCGCTGCTGCCCGCGCTCCTGCCTGCGTTAGGGTTTGGGGGTGGCGAGTGTGGGGGTGGCGAGTATGGGGGTGACGGGTGTGTGCGCCGTCCCCTGCTCCTCCTCCTCCTCTGTCTCCCACTGCTGCAGCTGCCGCTGAGGGGGGTGGATGTGTTGGAGCCGTCGGAGTGGTACGAGGGGGGTGGCGTGTGAGCAGTGCTAGAGGTACAGCAGGGGGTGTGTGAAAGGGGTGTGGGACAGTTGGGGGAGGTTGACCGGAGGTAGCCGTTGTGACGTCAGCAGCGCCAGTAGTCCGGGGGTTGAGTACTCCGGTAGCCCAGCGAGCCTGCTGCGCCAGTCGCCCGTGGGTCCGTTGCTCCTGCAGCTTAGTGCGGAGCCAGTTACTCCTGTAGTCCGGAGGTTGAGTGCTCCGGTAGCCGCCGTGCGCGCCGCTCCTGTTGCCTGTGTGTCTGCGGCTTCACACGTCGCCTCCTATCTCCACTCCTCTCACAGTCCCTCCTCCTCCTCACTTGCCCTCTGTGACAGCCTCTAGCTTTGCTTATCATTGTGAACTATTGCTCTGCCTGCTTGTTGTGCTGATTATACCCCACTTTGACTATGGGGGTGTGTCAGAATGTGATATTTGTCTAGCCTGCAGTGGGGTATTGTATAGCGAGTACAGCGCAAATTAGGGTTTGCTATATATACTCAACTGCCTGCTAGTGCAACCCCTCTTTCCTGTTTCTCGTTTCTGCCTATAGTTTCTGACATGAACCAGTGATGCAGCGAAGCAGTTAAGCAGTGACGCTGTGAACCAGTGATGCAGCGAAGTAGTCAAGCAGTCCAGCAGTCAACCAGTGATGCAGTGAAGCAGTGATGCAGTGGTATTGGAGTATTGACGGGGGAGGAGAACTGACGGGAATCGATAAGGGGTAACGGAGGGGGAGAGGTTGGGTGGATGGTGATGCAGCGAAGCAGTGATGCAGTGATGCAGTGAAGCAATAGAGGCCAGGAGAGTGGTAGTCTGGAGAAGCAGAGAAGTAGCGCAGGAGAGAAGATGCGGCGAGCTGATACGTGCCCAACCAAGTACTCCCATGTTACGTATTTTGCTAATGGTCGGGTGGTACCTCTATTGAATGTTCTTTCTGTATCGTAGAAGGATCGATATCAAATCGCAGCTTTCTCGCACCACTCCTGATTGTATTAAGCTCCATGGTCTAGATTTGAATCGAGTCGCTACAAGTGTGGTGTTGCAAGTTTCTAAGATACCATACCAACAGACTACTAGGAAAGAACAAGGTTCTTACAGTATTAGTGCAGCAGCGTCACAAGTACGGTACAAATGCGGTTGAGTTGTTGCTGTGTTTGGGATGGGATGTGCTGAGTGGGAAGGACACCTCCCTTTATGGAGAATAGTTTCAAGGCACCATACCGTACAATGATAACAAAGAGGGACAACAATCACAAGGTTGTATCGCATCTGTGGCACTGATACCCTCATAGGGCACTCTGCTTGTACCTACTGCACGTGTCATCCAGGGTAGCACGTGCAGTGCATCTATTGTAACTGCAGGGAGTCGACTTTGAGTTCACACGGTACGCTACCAACTGCTTCCACTGCGCTCACGCCCACTTTGTAACTCAAACAAGCACGGAGCTTCTAACTGCTCTCACGCCCACTTTGTAACTCAAACAAGCACGGAGCTTCGTTTCACATATATTGTACGCCTTGATGATGAAACACACGGTGTGAGACAGACGTTGTCTCCTAAGGTGCTTCGAGGTGGGCCCGTGCTGCTTGCAGGTGCCCATTGCAGCAGTCCCAGGCGCGTCACACCTTGGATGGTGCACCCACTCGCACCCACTTGGCCAGCTGCTCCTTGCCCTGCACGTCAACTCCACCACCCGCCATGCACCCGCCATGCACCCACCCACCCAACCAACCGCCCACCCACCCAACCAACCGCCCACCCACCCAACCAACCGCCCACCCACCCAACCAACCGCCCACCCACCCAACCAACCGCCCACCCACCCAACCAACCGCCCACG